TACTAGGATATAGTTGAATATGTACTTCCACTTTAGTGATACGATTTGTTTCGTGATACTTGCTCTAGCGTGGAAGATAACTAAAAGCACATACATGCATTATATCTGGAGTTGATTCGATTAAATTCTTCTTATATATCAAGGAGATAAGAAAGTAACAACGAACATCCATAAATTTATGCAATACACAAATAAAATTGGGACAACACATACATAGACTATGTTATTGTCTGCTTTTACTATGTAATAATGTGTATTTATGTAAGAAATACTACGTGCTTTTAAAATCATGTTATGCTCCTTATGTAATAAGCATTTAATTTTATTGCAAGAACATAATCCGTGTAAAGTTACTTGTTATTTATTATCTATAAATAATGTTATGCGCTTTTGTAATAAGCATTTGCTTTTACTGCAAGAACATACTCTGTGTATCAACATTACCTGATTACATGTCGGAGTAACTGTAACCAGGTGTATGTTCTAATTTCCGCCATGAGATTAGATCAAGTTTCTGAAAATTTTCATTTTTGTCAACTAATTTTATACAAAAAGTGCAAAATTGCAGCTACACATTAAATATTATCTATTGCTTTCAATGAGTTGGATAAAATTGATTTATTCTTTAGGTCTTCACTAGTTATGAAATCAATGCAACAACTCTATTCTGTTATTTGGAAAGGTAATTATCATCAGATGATACGTAAAGATAAGTTTATGTTGATTAATATGACCTTTGGACCATATAATAAATCCCTAATAATGAAAACTTTGCATTTTAGGAAATCTTTTCACTTTGGGTAAAAAAAGATTTGGCAAAGCTAAAAGTGGTAGCAAATTGAATCCACATCAGCCATAAGCTCTTCATCTTTGCTTGTCTAACAAAGCCTACTTGAATGTTTTCATCATACTACTTGAATGTTGTACTAAGTTAGCTCATAATGTTGTCACTTATTGTACATTCGTGCACATAAGGTTGAATGCATGCATAGGGCCGTCTCATATCCGAATTGATGGAGATTATCTCATAATAATTTATTAAGGTAAGGTGTAATAGTTACTTCTACTATTTAGGAGTGTATAACCTTTTAGTAATTCAATGTAAGACAAGTTCATTCTTAGAGTTACTTTTGAGCTTAGGTGTAAGAAATTGCATATGTTGTTCTCTTAGGTGCGCAAATTGTGCATCTGTTAAACATCAAGCCGAAAACCAAAGAACATGAAGACTTGCTCCAATGAACATAAACCTCGATAATCATAAGAGCTATAACTATATATATAAGATGATGTTATCATTGTTATGTTCACTGGAGTTTATGTTTTTTTATATATTTTGTTTTAGTCTTTGTTCTTTGGTTTCATGTTTAATGTTCATTGGATGCATTGTGCATATATACGTCTCCATCATCCAATTATTGCTCTTAGGTGAACCTTCATGTGTCACACAACTAACAATGGGATCATCATTCTTAATTGTTGGCCGATGTTCACTGGGATACCTCAAAAATATCGACCTTAGTCCTCTGATCAACTGGTAAGAGACTTGTTCCAAGTTAATTAGAGAGGTATTCGATTCAAGTCATAAAAATGTTAAAACAAATGGTGAGACAATTTGTTTTCAACAAAAGAAAGAGTTTGTTGTCGTTTTTTTTTTTTTTTTTTGCTTTAATCCAAATGTGTTAGATTTTAATAGGCTATGAATTAGTGAGTGAGGTATTTTTAGAAAATGGTATCATTGTATCTATAGTCAATTTTTTTATTAGGTTTATTTAAAATTTGCATTGTTATCACCATCATCCGATCCTTAGAATCCTTGGACATCAATTTTGCATAATCACTATCGTTGGTTGAAATTAAACTTGCAAGTGGTAAGCATAATTGCAACATTTTACATTTGTAACTAGATTGCTCCATTACAAAAGCTAGCTTATGAGTATATGATTGATATTGTTGCAAACAAGTCAAGTGAATATAAACAAATTTACCACTTAAGACAATAAGATAGATGCTGAAAAAACGAGAAAGAAATCATTAACTTCATACCTATTGGTGCAATAATGGTTCTTCTTGACTAAAGCCTAGCACTCTATGTGTACAACATTTGATTTAATCAAACATGAAAAAAGAGGGGTCTACTTAAGTCAAGTAGTGGTCAATTTATGAAATGGGTACCTCAAAACACCTTGAAATTATTTGGTTAAACTATTCTAGCGAATATTTAAAAGTATCTATCTACCATTTAAAACTATATTTGGTGGGTTACTAATCAAAATTTCATGCCAATACTAATGTTTATATTTTTTTTGATTAGGTTTAGATATACATTTCAAAACTACATGCACCAAGAGTACTTCCTAAACGTATAATACTCTAATACATGATCAAATCTCAAGCTAGTACACAATGCTTAGAAAATAATAGCAAATATATAGAGTGATGTGGGGTAAATATCTTGTAAAGAGAACAATTATATTTTATCTAAAATATAAGAAACTTTTATAATATATGGAGTATTAGGTTAACCGTTAATCATTTTAAGATAACTTTAACTTGATGCACTATAGACTTATGCATAAATTTATTTATCAAAAGCTAAAAGACAAAAGAAGATCCCACTAATTAAATACTCAATAGCCAAGTTCTTTCCAATTATTGATCTTAACAGAATATACTAGAATATTCCAGTAATGATATAACATCATGAAGGTTGAGACAAAACAAATTGAGATCCTGTGAAACCAAAAGTATATAAATTGATGGCAATTTGATTTTTAGTTGAAAAATTCAATAAATAAATAAAAATAAAAAGTGAAGTGCAAATATATTGGATTGCACCCAAAACTAAAAGGTCCTAATCACCTTAAAAAGAAAGTGGTGAACCAAACAGTAATTGCATTGCGCTCACCAAAGGTCATTTGGCTTAATATAGTTTTGCTTTTTACAAATTATTGACACTTGATTATTGCTTTTATAAAGTGCTACATTTTTTTTTTTTTTAAATCCAAGCATACAGGTAATCCAAAGTCTATTAAAGTTAGACTAATTCGGATTTCAGACAGGTTAGGCCCTAATTGGTGGAAAAACTCTTTTAACAGGTGCTGATGTGTTTCCGTACTTGTATATTACTATTACACCCTAGACCGATGTTACTATATATGACTATGTGTTCCTAGTTTAGTTTACCACGAAATGTTTTGATGGTGGTCAATACAAGTTCTAATAAGAGTTAACCAGTTAAAGTATATTCAATTATATCTTGTGTATATACTATGTATGAATTTATACAAGGATTGACAAGTTAATTTTACAATAAGTTCAATGAAGTATATATAATAGATTCCCGCTAGTCATATGCGAAAAGTATTTAAATAAATTAAGTAAATTGATAGAGTATAAAATATATTCATGAGTCTCAACCATCAGTTTAAGCTTTTGGGTGGGTTGGTCTCTTAACATAAACAACGTCACAACTTCAACTATGCTTATAGGCTAGCTAGATAAGGTGGAAGTTGTAATAAACATTACCATATGCTTGATAAGAAGACTATTTCAATCGGCTTTTTCGCTGCATATTAGCTAGTGACCCTATGACCCTATGATAAGTATGTTGGTGTCCTAACTATGCTTCCATTATTATACATGAAAAGAAAATGATTTGAAGTTGAAATTAGTAAGGGAATTAGCGGTGCTTGTTGAAGGTGATACATGCATATTAATGGCAATAAAGCATAATGATTGATGATTCAAGTGACACTTTAATGAGTTACTACCTTGTTAGATACATATAGTTTTCCTCTCTTTGTACTAGTATGATTTTATTCGCAATATGAATAACATAATTAACGCAAGAGTAGAACTAGTTAATGAAAAATGAAGCATATATAAATTACCAAATTTAAAGCATGGCAAACAAAAAATCATACGAGTAAGAAGTAACAAAGATATCTACCTCAACTTTCAAAAAGCTATGAGCATATAACATATTTTCAAAATTTCAAGAGTATATAATCAAAGTTTTAAAGCTAATAATTTTAACCAAGAAATAAAAAAACAAATGATCGGATTCATGAGTCGGATCTAGATCTAAAATTGTTAGATAAGGGTCCCACACTCGATCCATGGACATCTAGTTCTAGACACAAATCCATCGTGATCCAGGACTCCAAGAGACTGAATTGGAGCAACAAATGGATCCTAATTTATGGGGGCGTGTTGGATTAGTTCAATAAAATGCATTTACCATTACACTTTAGGCCCAATTGCTTCTTAAAGGTTGAAATGAATTAAATTATATGGAGACAATGAGTCATTGAGTGCTTTTGCAAATGTGGGACAAAGAGGGATACACATATGGAATTTAGTTAAAATTTGATTATTTAAGAAATTTAAATTATTTTACTGGCTTGTAACTTTGTAAGTTGTAACTACTGGTTCAAAATATTGAGGAAATATATTGTACAAGAAGAATTCATAAAGTGATCAAACACCATCGAGTCAGCGCATAATTTCATAAGTTAAAATTGTTTTAATAGGGTGAAATCGGTGAATGGGATAAGCCCTTGTTGTGGGCGTTAGGCTACATAATTTTATTTGGTATAGATCAATCTTGTACCTGTACTCTAATGCTCTAACCCGACCCGACTCAATCCAATTTGAAAAAGCCTTTCAACTTTAAATACACTCAAATTATGTACGGACTCATGACCAAATTCTTTTTAATGAACGCATCGTGTTGCAAGCTCAATCCGCCTACACAAAAAGGCCATGGCAAGGCAGCACGAGCACGACTAGAGGTATCAATTCGGGTGTTCGGATCAGGTTTGATGAGGTCGGATCGGTCGAGTAAATTTTTAAAAATTAATTCATGCTAAATTATTATGTCCACGTAAGTCAAAATCATAATTGAACATTTTTCGCATCGATTTCGAAACAAATCAGATAACGAGTGTGGTTTTAACACCTCTAAGCACGACCCACTATCTTAGAGCCTAATGAAAATTTACGAAACCCCCCAAAAGTAAAAACTGCTTAATGAGAACTGATATTCTGTAACTTGAGAAAACAAACACCATGAACTTGTTACACAAAACCCTCACTAAAACCTCCAAATCAACCATCTTCTTCCCCTCAATCCCCCCAATTCGTCAACACCCATTTTCTCTCTCCTCCTCATACTCAACCAAAAACTCAATTGATGATAGCAGGGAGAAGAACTTGGCAAGACCAAGTGAAATTCCATTCCAACCAAAGGTTGTAAATAGAGTCAATTTTGTTGGTACTGTAACTATACCTGTTAAATTCTGCACTTCTGTTGATGGAAAATCATGGGCTGTTACTGTTATTTCTCACCTACGGCAACCTTTGTTTACTTCCAATTCTCTCTGGTATATTTCATCAATTTTCAGAACCCATGTTTAATTTTCTTTCTTTTTTGTGTTTTTGATTTTGTGGGTTTGATTTTTATGGTGTTTAATTGAATTGGGTTGATGTTTGATTTGGGTTTCATTGTGATTTTGGTATTTGATTGAACTAGTTGGTTTTGTTGAAGAAACTGTTTGATTTTGTAGTGCTCTTAGGTTTTCTGATGTTTTAGGAAATTTGGACTAATACTATGACATTATACACTATAGATTTGTGAGTGTTTTGGGGTTGTTGTAGAACAGAATGGTGACCTGACTAATTAATCTGTTCTTACTTCCTAGTTTCTTACTAAACTCCTTGAAGTAGGTATTGTATTTGAGACACTATCAAGTTTTGTAATTGTTTTATTCAACAAAAAACCAATATCAGTTTGTTATTATACTTAAAGTCTGAAGCACAGATTATGAGTAATCAAAGCTCATTAGACAGGATCAAATCAAGGGGTGTCGTTGCAAAGTGTGGTGTTGAATAAGACAAGCTACTTTGAAAGGACATTTGATAGTATGATGCTCTTTGAAGATTGGAGAGTTAGACTAGTTGATATTGCAGTCTCAATTTTAAGTGGTTTTGTGGGTTTTTGCTGCTTGTATCAGTTTAATTTACAGTTAAACCTCAAATGCTTAGTGTCACGGTCCGAGTGGTTTGACACCGGATCGTGCGGCGCGCTCTTATCTTTTAGAAACAAGAAGCAAGCCTAGAGTGAGAGAGGTTCGTGTACCAAAGGTATCTCAATGAGGCAATCGTTAGTAACGAGTGCAGGGTCGGGGCTTGTGACGGTCGATACTTCGAAGCGGGCACAAGCGGAACCGACAAGGATGTAGGCGTCTTTGAGGGTCTCTTGGTTTGGTGGGGAGCTTTAAAACAAGGCAAGCACAATATCTATAAAGGCTTAAATCAACACACAAGTCTTAAAGCAAGGCAACCCAAATAGGAGCTTTTTCATTCATTCAACCATCGCTGTATATAGAGCTTTATATTGTTTACATGGAGAAATACTAGTGAACACTGAAATGGCAGTAACACAATAATCTCCTCTAGCGCCTAAACTACTTACACGAATACATTGAAAGTCTAACATAAACTAAGTAAAGACATAAGAAAGCAAAATACATGATGAAAGAGGTTGGATCCTAACATCCTCCCCCACTTAAGTTGTCGACGTCCTCGTCGACTTACAAAATATGACTAAGGAGACTAAAGTTCTTGATCCTTAGGTCTGTGCTGAAGAGGTGCTGCGCTGTCTGCTCCTGATGCTAGCTCGGTTGCTGATGTTGCGGCTTGAGTCTTCTTGATCTGGGTGGTAGGGCTTGAGACGGCTGACGTGAAAGACTGGGTGTATCTTCATCCATGCTGGAGGTTCGTCCTTGTACGCATTCTTCCCTATCCGTTTTATGATGCGGATGGGGCCTTCATATTTTCTGATCAATCTTCGATCTCTTCCTCTCAAGAACTTCAGTTGTTCGGGTAACACTTTCACCATCACCATATCCCCAACGTCAAACTCCAACGATCTTCTGTTTTGATCAGCCCACTTCTTCATTCTCCTAGCTGCTCGCTCCAAGTAGGCCCGAGCAATCTCTGTGTTTTGCTCCCCCTCCCTTTTGAATTCTCGAGCTTGAGTACTTCGTCCGGCCTCGGTGTCTGCTACTGTGTGAGGCAAGAGAGGTTGTTGGCCCATGGTCAGCTCAAAAGGGCTCTTGTTTGATGAGGAGCTCTTTTGGGCGTTGAAACAAAGTTGAGCTACATCGAGGAGTCTCACCCAATCCTTCTGATTGGCACTGACGAAGTGGCGCAAATATTCTTCAAGTAACCCATTGAATCTCTCCGTCTGCCCATCTGATTGTGGATGATGACTTGATGACATATTGAGTTCTGACCCCATCATCCGAAACAACTCTGACCAGAATATGCTTGTGAATCTCGTGTCTCTGTCGCTCACTATACTCTTGGGGAGTCCTTAATACTTCACAACGTGCTTGAAAAATAATGAGGCAGTTTCTTCAGCACCACATGCCTTTTGCATTGGAACGAAGGTAGCATATTTTGAGAATCTATCTACAACCACCATTACTGCGGAGAGCTGGTCCACCTTTGGGAGGCCACTGATGAAGTTCATGGATACACTCTCCCAAGGGCGAGTAGGGATTGGTAACGGTTCAAGGAGCCCACCGGACAAGTTCTTGTGTAGTTCATCACGTCCTCTTTCATCCCCGGCCAATAGTATCCTGTGCTCAGTAAGCTGAGTGTCCTTTGCCAACCCGGATGACCTGCCCATAGCGTGTCGTGGCATTCCCTCAAGAGCATCTTTCTCAAACCACCTGCTCTAGGGATGAAGAGTTTATTTCCTTTTGTGTAGACGAGTCCGTCTTCCATCCAGAAACGCCTAGTTTTCTCTTCTTCAATCAGTTTCTTGATGGTTCCTGTCATCGGATCATCTCCTAAGTAAGCTTTGACTTGATCACGCACAGAGGTAGCGACGTTGCTTGAAGTTAAAGGGGCTAATCTTTGTAGGGGTGCCAGGTCTGCTCGCCTGCTCAGCGCATCTGCTACCCTGTTGCTAGCCCCTGTTCTGTATGCAAACTCTACATCGAACTCAGCTAAGGATTCTTCCCATCGAGCCTATCTTCCCGTCAAATAGAGGATCCCTTCAAGGTGGATACTGCCACCATGTATTTAGTGGAGGACGCGAAGTTGTGGTGGCGCACCAAATATGCCGACATTCAAGCAAAACGAATCACGCTTGATAGTTGGGAGGATCTCAAGAAGGTGATCAAGAACCAGTTCTGCCCGGATAACACCGAGTTCGTGGCTCGCACAAAGTTAACCACCCTACACCACAAGACTTCCATTCGAAAATATGTGAAGGAATATTTGTGCGTGCATGTTAGAGATCCAAGATATGTCAGAGAAGGATCGGTTGTTCAACTTTGTGCGAGGTTTGAAGGATTGGGCGCAACGTGAGATTTGGCGCCAAAAGATACACTCTAGCTGGTGCTATAGCAGCAGCTGAGAAGTTAATGGATTACTCACCCGATAAGGGCCCTAATCAGAAGAAGGGGAACAATGGACAAGCAACAAGCACTCCTAGAAGCCAACACCCCGCCTCCCAAGTTAGCTCAAACGGTGTTGGGAGTAGGTACAACAAGACTGTGGGGGACGACTCTAGAAGGAGTGGAGCTTCCTCTTCATCAAGTAAGGGAAGCACATCAACCTTCTCAACGGGGAACAGACCCCCAACATGCATCCTCTGTCGGGGCCCTCACAAGTGGTTCGAATGTCGTCATAAGGGAGAAATCGATAGTCTCCAAAAGAAGCTATCGGCGATGACGATGGAGTCAAAACAGACCGAAGAAGCATGCAAGGTAGAGCCCGATGAGGAAGAGCCCTCAAGGCTGGGCGCGGTGCACATGTTGTACGCCATGGGAAAGGAAGAGCCCGAGGAGAGGTCTAAAAACACTGAGTTGATGTATGTAGAAGTGTTGGTGAATGGGAGGAGGGGCAATGCGATGATTGACACCGGGGCCACCCATAACTTCATATCCCAAGAAGAAGCTCGAAGATTGGGGCTGAAGCCGATTCAAGAAGGGAGTAGTATGAAAGCTGTTAGCTCAGCCGCCAAGCCAGTTCATGGGGTTGCAAGGAACATCCCAACAAAGCTGGGGGACTGGAGCGGAAACCTGGATTTCACTGTAGCCACCATGGATGACTTTAACCTTGTACTCGGTATGGACTTCCTACGTGCAAGTAAAGCTGTCCCGATGCCCCACCTGGGGTCAGTATTAGTAGCTGGACAACAGCCTTGCCTCCTCAAGACTTGCAAGATGAGAAAAAGGTCTAAAGGCCCCCTCCTTTCGGCAATGCAACTAAAAAAGGGGTTGAAAAGGAACGAACCCACATTCCTTGCTACCCTATCAGTGAAAGAAGATGAAGCCCCTTATGAAATCCCCGCAGCTTTAGATAAGTTTCTCACAGAATTTGAGGACCTCCTCCCTAAGGAGCTCCCAAAGGTGCTTCCTCCTAGGAGGGCTGTGGATCACGAGATTGAACTTGTTCCTGGTTCGAGGCCTCCTGCTGTGATACCAACTGTCACGGTCCGAGTGGTTTGACACCGGATCGTGCGGCGCGCTCTTATCTTTTAGAAACAAGAACGCAAGCCTAGAGTGAGAGAGGTTCGTGGGCACACAGCAACACGGACCAAAGGTATCTCAATGAGGCAATCGTTAGTAACGAGTGGAGGGTTGGGGCTTGTGACGGCCGATACTTCGAAGCGGGCACAAGCGGAACCGACAAGGATGTAGGCGTCTTTGAGGGTCTCTTGGTTTGGTGGGGAGCTTTAAAACAAGGCAACCACAATATTTATAAAGGCTTAAATCAACACACAAGTCTTAAAACAAGGCAACCCGAATAGGTGCTTTTTCATTCATTCAACCATCGCTCCATATAGAGCTTTATATTGTTTACATGGAGAAATACTAGTGAACACTGAAATGACGGTAATACAATAATCTCCTCTAGCGCCTAAACTACTTACACGAATACATTGAAAGTCTAACATAAACTAAGTAAAGACATAAGAAAGCAAAATACATGATGAAAGAGGTTGGATCCTAACACTTAGGCTTTCTTTGTGATACATTATTACAATTCACAAAGAGAGAGAGAGAGAGAGAGAGTTGCACACTTCATTTTCTAATATTCAAGGGTATTGGTGTGAGAACATAGTACGAGTACATGATATGCATGTATAGTACAGTTTATGCCTATGTAGCATGGAAACTACTCGGGTTATCGAAAAAAAAAATGTTTTGGAAACAGGAAACCCTTGAGTTCAAGCCATTCCTAGGTTTCATTAGCATGAAATGGGTTTTAAAATTGGGGAAACTTCAGTTCCTAGTAGTTCCTGTGCTTCCTAGGTTTATGCTATTGTGTGTATTATGAAGTGAATGGGTGCCTGTCAGATATATATAATTGTAATGTAAGTGCACTTTGGGCTAATTTTTTATTCCTTATATCTCTTTAACTAGGATTCCTATAATATTTGAAGGTGACTTGGCCATCACTGCTGCTACCCGTCTGAAAGAAAATGATAATGTACACATTGCCGGACACTTGAGTTCAGATCATATGCCAATCAATTTGACAGATTACCAATCAAAAGTCCAGGTAATGTTGTGCTTCTCTCTTTTTAACTACATTATTTCTTTCTTGGTCAAATCAAATGCTATAATTGAACTAACTGGTGTTGATCGTAGGCTTTGCCATAACATACTAAATTTTATGTGGGAAGCATGTAATGTAACTAATGAGGTTCAGACTTGCATTTAGCATCTGATGAGAATTGCAACATGTTCCTTGTGGACCCTTTCTGCTCTGATGGCAGGTCATTGGTCTGAAAGATCATGAGATGATTTAGTTAAATGCAAAACTTAAGTCCTGGTCTAGGAAACCAAAAAAAAATTACTTTGTACTTTTTGTTTTGTTTTTTCTGTTGTGACTCAAAAGTCTAGACTATATGTATTTGACATATCAAGTGCTAACATGTAAAGTTGTAAAGTGATTAACTAATATCTTAAGTTGCTTACATGTTTAGTACACTGCCATTACAAATTCATAATCCTGAAACCAGGTCTTATTGTTAGAAAACCTGTAAGGCAGTGATGCTGTTTTATATAGACACCGCAATACTATGGACCAATATAATCAATGTGGCAATGCCGCAATGAGAATCAATGAGGGTCACTAGAGCGTTATTAAACTAACCAAATGAACAAATTTAGTGTTTCAGGTTAAGCTTTCCCAGCTCCATCATTCAGGTACTTGTGAATAGAAATATTCACCATGGTATTAATACATGCTATGCCTTTTTTCCAACAATATGCTTCTCAACTATGTATATGGGTCAGTTGACCATCCTGAGCTATCAGCTTTTCACCTAGCCAACAGTCTAGGAGCTAATCTATGGGATTACAACAATATATGCGAAGTATAATGCAAGTATACTAGTTCCTTCCTAGTCCAGGAATTGCTCATAACTAATTCATATACTAACTCTAATTCAAATTACATTTGTTTTAACTAATGCCTTAGATAAAAAAAAATTGTAAATCATTCTACATTATTAATGCTGTATTAAATGTCACTTTATTATATTAATATTGTATTATAGATTTATAGGTTACATAATAATATACATATTCAGATATTAAATGTCGCTTTACAATGCCAATGCAACTTTAACTAGGTTCCAAACACATGTAAAAATTGTTAAAATGACCTATATATTAGAACAAAGGGAGTATATCTTAGTATGCACGACTCCAATAGCTGGATAGAGAACTTCATTTTTCATAATCTAATTTGCTCTATTGTGGGAAGATGACAAGCTTTAAAGTTATCTCATCACTCTATGGGAAGGAGGGAGTATCTTTTCCTGCCTTTTCATTTTCCTCTCTCTCTCTGATTTCTGTTGCGCCAGGGAGTCCAGGGACTAGGGTTCAGGGGTTAGGTGTTGGGTGTGGGTGGGCAGGTGGGTGTATGAGGCGTAAGGATAAGGTTTGAGGTGTGAAAGCCCATGCCTTTTTTAGAGTCAAGTTTGTAGATGATGGTCTCCCTTTAAGAACGAGGTACCGATAAGCAGAGGAGTTAGCTTTAGTTTTTGTCATCAATTGGTGCATGCAAATGAACTTGTTCAGCAACAAAGAATAAGAGCTTTTAGCTTAGGGCATTAGGCTGTGTAGTTTGACTTCATTAGTTATATATTTTGTCCCTGTATCCAAGTATTATTTATCACATTGGTCCAACCCCTCATATATATTTAAGACTAAAGGATTCACTATAATCATTTTAAATTAATACCCTTTTCTTCCTTGTTCTACCACTCAATCTAATTTTGAGGGGGAGGGAAGGGTTTGTATCTGTGTTCGTCAGGTTATATTTCCAAAATACCTTTTTGTGATAATTTGTCATTTTTCAATTTTCATGAGTAATTAATTTTTCTTTTGCCCTATGTTGATTCAAATGTGGCAGGTTATGGTTCACAATGTTAATTTTGTTCGTCAATTCCATCCTGAAGTGATGAAACATCTCCTCTTCAATCAAAGAAGAGGAAAAAAGATGAAACCTCACCCCAGATCATAATTATGAACTGTGCATGCCTAATTATATTGGTAAATCCTATCTTAACTCTTAACTACATCTACATATGGCTTATTGTTTACAGAAATTCGATTAACAACTAGAGTTGAAGTAAACCTCTGTTTGGCTTGAAGTTCATTAGTTTTGATTTTTGATTTTTTTTTTTGTTTTTGTTTTTTGTTTTTTCTTGCAGGTATTTCAACAGCCACTGAAATCCTTATTCATACAAGTAAATACATACTTCGTAACAGGCAGTGGATAAGTATAGCTTCCTTCACTGAATCGATCAAACACTAGACAATTGTCCTGAGAATACGGGGGACCGATGAGAATATCTGTGAACAGAAAACTCTTGCCTTACTAATCACAGAATATCCAGGACAAGTAATGCTGTCTAATTAATGATCATTATCCATTATAGTTGATATGAAAGTGATGTGAAAATATGATTGCTACTTTGGGAAGTCGGCACTCGGCAGGGCTTTGAATTACAAAACAGAAAGGTACATCTCCTTCAATGTGTACATACTAAACTGGTGTAAACTTTTGGTGTCGGATTGGATAATACAGTACGTGTATACAACATGGTTTTCAATTCTTGAACTTGATATCATGATATGTATGGTTTATCTCGAGGATAGCTTAATCATTACTTAACACTTGTTTGATTTTTATTTTTGTAATATACTGGCTGGAGAAAGTTCTCGTCAAGGTTGGGAGGAGGGGTTTCCAACCCTGACTAGAATAAATCGCGCTAAAGCACCTTAAATTGAGGCGAGGGAAATTGAGAATCATAACCTGAACCTGTACCCGGACCATATGGTTGGATTGGAGATTATCATTTTGAAAATCATTTCAAAAAAATGTAAAAAAGAATAAAAAATTCAGTGTTAAAGTGAATGATATTCACAAAAAATGTGTGATTGATAAACAAGTATTGAATGACGTGGAAAGGGTAGTTGGGTTGAGACAACGTCGACTTCAGTCGTCAAGCTTCTGATCAGGTAACGTCCATGCAAGCCAAGATATTTCCCACAATTACATCACGCTGTCTCCTGCTGCGTAACTGCTTACCATCTTACCATAGAATCCTTGTACGTTACGGACTAGATATTTTATAAAGTATTTTATTTATGAACTTTGCCAGCTCATATTGTAAATTTGTACTCTCTTCGTTCTTTAATGTTTTGTTCCGATTGTTTTTTTAACTTGTCCTTTTAAATTTGTCTCATATAGAGTTACTACTTTTAGTAGAGGTTGTTAAGGTCAAATAAGTCTATAATAGGTATTAAAGGATTATTTAAACCAAAAGTTTAAATTGATGGTTGAAGCTTAAGATTGGTTAATATGTTTTGTACGGTATTAGTTGGAGATAAGTTCATCACAAATAAGCTTAATAAGGGCTACTCAGATTCATTTAGCAACCGAAATTCGAAGTAATAGTTCAGACACATTTTGCTAAGCTTAATTAAGTAATTAAGTGAATTGGATGGATAAAATGCACTAAAGTGAATATAATAGTGCCTAACTGAAAAAAAAAATAAAAAAAAAAAAAAAAAGTATCATAAAAGAGATGAGATTTGGTGACACATACTCCACATCAAATACCATCCCAACATCCCCGAAAGATCAAGACTTTTACCAATTAAGGTCTTGTTTGGTAATCGCTTTGTGAATCGCTAAATATCGCCCGCAAATTATCATATAAAGCCCACAAATATGACTTGGTGTGACTTTATTGCCCTTTTCCTTTTAAAAAAAAAAACTCTCTACTTCTCTCTAAAAAAAATCAGAAAATCTACCTCTCTTAAAAAAATTAATTACGACAATGTCGAGGCGGCAAGGGAAAGAGGTGGCGGCGGCGACGGCGGAGGAAAGACGGCGACCTGGTGGCAAGGTAATTATTTAATAAATTTTTTTTTTAAAAAAAAAAAAAAGGCGACGGTGGCGCGTGGTGGGGCGGCAGGTCCGGCAGCCAAAGCCGGTGGCGTGGCGTCTGGCTTGGAAGCCCAGCCACCGGACCAGGCGTCCAAACCAGAAGCCAGCCCATTGGCTGTGGCGTCCAGATCTGGCGCCTGTGCCAATGGGTGGGCGTCTAGTTCAGGCGCCTGCCCACTGGCTACGGCTGCCGGAGCTGGCGCCACCGCCAGTGGGTGGGCGTCCTGGCCAGGCGCCCGTCCCTTTTTTTTTTTTTTTGTTTTTTTGTTTATGTTTTTTTGGTTTTGTTTATGTTTTTTTTTTTCTGCTTTTTTTTTGTTTTTGTTTTTTTATTTTGCAAAATCAGAAATTTAGTTTTATTTAAAATAATTTAGTTTTATGTCTAATTTTTTCTGTTAATGTGTTTTATTTTTTAAAATATTTATAAACTTTATGTGTTTTTTTTTATAAATCGTGTATATTTTATTTTTATAAAATTAGATTTTTTTTTTTGTGTTTATGTTTTATTTTTTTTTATGTTTGATGTTTAAACATTTTTTATGCCTTAATTGATGTAGTATGTGGAAATTGTTTGTGTTAATGTGTAATTGTTTTTTTTTTATTTAAAATGTGTAATACATTAGGGTATTATATGTGTATTTGTGTATGTGTAATATATTTGTTTTTTATTTTTTATGTTTAATTATTTGAAATAATTTTTATTTTTTTTTGGAAATCATAAATTTTGTAATATATTAGGGTATTATGTGTGTATTTGTGTATGCCGTATAATATTTTTCTATGTTTAATTAGTTGAAATAATTTGAAATTTTTGTTTTGTGTCCTATTTAGTTATTATGTCTTTGATTTTTTATAATCTTTATTAATTTAATGTTTATAAACATGACGATATGTTGGAAGTGTTGGTATTTTGTATCTGTAGGTAGTTATTTATTTTTTCTAAAAAACTTTTGTATGTTTATATATTTTTAAATTTTTTGTAGAATTCACTGGGTCGTCATGGTGCGGGGAAGAATGTAGAGCTTCTTAGTAGAAGCTATTCAGTGGAGAGGTCGGGGCATAGACATGTTAGATCTCGTGGTATTTCGGCCTCGGCTTGTAGAGAACGGATCCACCGTCGGGATGAGGATGACGATGACGATGATGATGCTGAGGAGGGTGACCAGGAGGAGGGCGCATATGAGGATGAGGATATGGACGATGGGAGTGGACCGTATGATGATTACGGTCCATTCAGTCAGAGGGTTGATGACATGTACGAGACACATATGGTGGAGGTGCGTAAGGGTAGGGGTGGTAGGTTTGTTAGTAGATCTGGCACATCATTTGCGTCCACTGTATCTGGGGCAAGCAGGAAACGGTCGAGGGTCGTTAATGATTCTTGGGTTGTTAGGAGTGAGGTGCCCGGTGGGCCTGTTGACGGGAGTGTGATTCTTAGCTTTCTAGGACACATAGTTGCCCGTATTTGGGAGGACCAGGAGAGGCCTTCAGTTACGGGGTTGTTGAAATGTCATACCCGGGAAAAGACTTGTAGCTTTTTGCGTACATGGGCTGAGGCTTAGCCGGCGGAGAGCGAGATGTTCAAGCGACTGGAGGGCACTGGGGTGAATCACGTTCCTGCCACCATGCACGATAAGATTGACAGTACGCTGATCACGGCTTTCGTTGAGCGATGGCAGCCAGATACAAACTCTTTCCACCTTCCGTTCGGTGAGATGACGATCATGTTACATGACGTCGAGGCCATTATGGGGATTCGTGTTGAGGGTAAACGACTTTGTGCTGTGGCTGATGCGGATCAGGCAGATTTGCTGGCGGAGTTGTTGGCGGTGGACAGGGCTGCACTGTACACTGAGGCGCTTGGTGTTTGGGAACACGGCGGTGTGAAGATCGCATCCGTGTTGCAGTGGTGTTTGTACCCCAGTGCACGTAGGACGCACGACGCACAGCTGGCTGCTTATGTTTTTCTACTCCTCGGATGTACCTTGTTTCCAGATAAGAGCGGCGGAAACAAGCTCAGGCCACGCGACGTAGTAGAGGCGTGTGACCCCGACAGTGTAGGCCAGTTTTCTTGGGGATCGGCTACGTTGGCGTATTTGTATCGCCAACTAGGATTTGCGAGTCGGGCTGACGCGGCAGGTATCACTAGGTGTCTGACTTTATTGCAGACCTGGATATACGAGTACTTTCCTGCATTGCGACCACATCGTGACCCGGTTCCTATTGATGAGGGGATGTCGCGTGCTTGTGCGTGGAGTCCGCGCTCGAAGAAGAAGTCTGTTGACTGCCACCGATCGATACGATTATTGCTGGACAGGCTGTCCCCCGTAGAGGTAACGTTTATAAATTGTTTCTACATTTTATTATATGCACATATTATATTCATGTTATTAAATTTTAAAACTATGTGCAGGTGAACTGGATGCCTTTCGGCCCGAACCCTAGTGTTAGGGTACCCAGGACCCTGTACACGGGACTCATTCAGTATCGTGAGATCGTTAAGGCGTACATGCCCCAGCGTTGTCTTCGCCAGCTTGGATTTGTCCAAGTTTGTAACATTTTAGATTGTTCTTTTAGCTTTCAACTTAGACATATTATCATTGCTGTTTTTAAATTTTGACATAACCGTTCGTGGATCCGTGCAACTTACCCATGCAACATATAGAATGCAGTAAGCAATACAATATAAAAAATTAATGTTCTCATTAAAAGAGCAACGTACAAATAAGGTTACATAGGAAGAATGTAAACATGAAAAACTAAAATGCAGCTAGGGTGTTCCATTCGTGGATCCGGTCATGATATAGCGTATCCCAACCCTCTACGCTCGCTGTGCGAATGGTGTACCACCGAGGTATAATCGGTGGCACTGGAAAATCGGATGACATGTCTAGTCGGATGAAATGTCTGTATGACGACCCAAGAAACGCAATAGCTACCTCTCTGACCGGTGTGGTGACAGTCTCACGCGAACGCCAAGGGAGAACCGTGGTACAAGGATAATAAGCTTGACTATGCAATCCCAGCCCGAAATGCATGACTGCGCACTTGTAAATGTTTGCAACGGCAAACAGATCTAGGGGCGCGTCAAAATAATGATTTTGACCGCAAGGTCCACCTCCCTACCGGATACGCCGCAAAGCGTCATCCAAGTCATCCTGGTACACATGACGATAAACATTTCGATTAGAGGCAATTTCGCTGTACATCAACTGACGCACCAAACCGTAGTTGTCTTCGCCCATTTGAAAAACATCATCCACGACCCGGAATCCGCAGTTACCATCTCCGACTACATCATTCCACCCTTCCAAGTACGGCATGATGATCGCAGGTATCCTGTCCTTGTACGGAAACTGATCAACATCGTTTCTTCCTATTCACCATATAATTAAACACAGTTAAGAAGGCAGAGTAACCTTATAAACAATGTGCAATGTAAAAAACCAAAACGTACCAGTTCTCAGGGGCATATTCACGGATGATGAAGATTGACTACGACTAGATGACGATGTCCGACCACGAGCACGAGCACGACCAAGACCACGGATATACTCAAACGCACTCCTGTTCCGCCGTTGCCGACCTCGAGGACGGTCAACTCCTTCGGGTTCCTCAAAATCTAAGGTAGACGTGTGGAACATGTCATGAAGTACATGAGTAGCGTCACGAATAATAGAAGGATGGCTGGAGGACACTCGGTCGTACATCGAACGAAACTGCTCCAACTCCTCCTGTTCACGGTCGACCGTTTGAGTATCTGCATGCTCACCAATATTGAGCGTTCGCCAGAATGAATGAACCTGATCAACATGTAACGACGCCCTTTCTTCTGTAATAACACGGTTAATGGTGCATGCGCAAGGTAATCCATGAGTTACTGAAATAGCACACCCGCACCGAGCATACACTTCGTCAGCCAAGTCCCTCATCCTGTTCAGCTCAGTGAGAATCAACCCCAAGCAGTAGTGCGACACACGACCATGGAGAATCTTAAATATGAAATGGCTATACATCGTACCATGTCGTCGTTTGGAGTCCTCTAGAGAGTTCCTGATGCCGTTCTTCTGAATTTCCATCGAACAGTGTATCCAAAGCAGCGGTCAATGAATCAATCCAGTCCTTGGTAGCTCTATGAGCGCTCTCAACTCTACATATTGTAGTGTTCCCGAAATGAAGTACCTGGTTTGTCCAATATTTGACAAACTTTTCCCTGTGAGGGACCCATTGCTGCATCACATAGTCCACCAGTGCCGGACACCACTGGTACGAATCCCTGAAGTTAGCCAATTCTCGCTCGTACGCTTCCTCTGTGGTAGCCTGTAGGATCTTTCGCCACTTACCATTCACCAATCTCTCTTCCATTTCCAAATTCTTGTTGAAAAGGTTGTAGGCTTTCACTTTCACGCAGTTGTTGATGTGCCATGTGCACAATAAGTGCTTCGATTCTGGAAACAGCTCTGCTATGGGGGCAAAGAGACCTCCCTCACAGTCGCTGACGATGGCTGTTGGATGAACATTAGGCCCGATGTAGTTTCTCAGCTTCTCCAAGACCCAATAATAACTTGGAGCCGTCTCATCCTTGATGATTGCATGACCAATCAGAAAGTTCTGGTTCGTTGGAGTCATACCCATGATCTCAACCAGTGGAAACTTTTACTTGTTTGTCTTGTACGTTGAGTCGATCAAAATCACAAATGGCCAAGACTTGATCATATCAGCACAATCAGGATGCACAAGGAAAAGATGAGTCACCTCCGTTGTATCTTCATCAGAATCAAACCAAACATGTAACCACGTGATTGTGCCTGGTGTAGCAGCTGCTGTATAGGGTTCCTTCCCTCTGACCGTTCAAACCTGAGTTGCTGTCTGACGTTGTAGATGTGTCTTCGGTTTGGATGGTCTTTTGGAAATTTCTCTAACACAGATGCTAATATTTTAGCAGGCTTGACTTGAGCATCACTCATTTCTTTCACAACTAGTTTCGCAGCAGGACTTAAGTCGCTCAGCTGTCGATGACCCTCTTCATATACTATCATCTCATGGTTGTGATACCCCCATTTAGAGTAACCAATCACTTCCCAACCGTCACGACTCCGTAGTTGTCGGACCTTTACTCTGAACTCACACCCACAACCTTTCCGCTTTGTATCAACCCGAGTGGCTGTACGAAAATCTCTTTCTTCTCTTTTGCGATAACGGTCACATCTCAAAATGCGATCCATTCTACCATCCCGTTGAGATTTATGAGTTACTACTACCAAGCAAAATCCAGCTGCAATTGCAACCTGTTTTGCCCAATCAATCGCTTGTTGAGCTTCTTCGAATGGACCATCATGTCCAAATATCCCACTGTAATCATTTCCGTCTCCACCATAATCCTGCATCAATTATATATTATAATAAATACATTTAACGGATAATACATTTAATTTCTATATTTACACAGAATTAACACAAAAAAAAACATAATTATGTATAATATTATTCATACACATACACATACAAATTTTAAACACAATCATTTATAAAAGTCACATAAACAATTAAATATTTTGGTATACATTAACACAAATTTACTCACTACATACATAAACACATTAAATTATTAAACATAATTTAAAAAAAAAACACCGTTTTGAATTTTCAATTTGAAATAAATTAAAAAAAAAAAAAAAAAACCATTTCCAATTTTTTTTAATACAATTTCGAATTGTCAAACTAAATTTTAAAAAAAAAACCTTTCTCAACAATCAAACTTAATTTAAAAAAAAACCCAATTCGAATTTTCAAACTAAATTTAAAAAAAATACCATTTCGAATTTTCAAACTTAATTTTAAAAAAACCTATTTCGAATTTTCAAAATTAATTTTAAAAAAACCCATTTTTGAATTTTTTAAAAAAATCATTTTCGATTTAAAAAAAAAAAAATTAAAAACAACAACAAAATCAAAAAAGAAGAAAAAAATAAATAAATATAGGTGGCGTTTGCCAGGGCCGCCACAGCCACTGGACATGCGCCTGGCAGGGCCGCCTCAGCCAGTGGAGTGGCGCTTGGCCAGGACGCTAGTCTGGTGGTCTGGGCATCTGGGCTGGACGCCGGTGTGGTGGTTCTGGCGTCTGGCTTGGACGTCCATGCTACGGTGAGGGCGTCCATCCTAGGCGCCGGAGCCACTCCTACGGTAAACCGTGAATTTTAACGGTGACTTACCTCGTTTTCCGTCGACGACGACGTACCTCCGGCGTCCCCCACATCTTCGGCTTGCCCTCCGGTCTCCACCGGCGAGCCAGTACGGCTCCACATTTTTTAAATCGAGATTTGTTCAATTTTAGAAAATGGGCATAATTGTCACATCAAGTCATATTTGTGGGCTTTATATGGTAATTTGCGGGCAATGTTTAACAAATCCCATCGCTTTTGGCTTTTTCTTTTGGTCAAACAGCCAAAATACATGTTTGGTAAATGGCATTTTAGCTAGCTGAAAAGCCAACTTTTCCGTTAAAAATAAATTACTTCTTTATCCTTAATTAATAATTAGTAATTAAATAATTAGTAATTAGTAATTTTTAGTACTTAATAATTAATAATTAGTAATTAACAATTAGTAATTATTAATATGTAATTAATAATTAGTACTTAATAACTAGTAGTTAGTAATTAATAATACGTATAAAAAATGAATTAGAACACATAACAATGTCCTTTAAGATCGTTTTGCATAGTTACAACCAACAAATAACAACTGATTTTACCAAATATATTTACAAACAACAAATGGCCAAACAGCCACTACAAACAATCAGTCAAACAAATCAAATTAAACAACCAACAGTCATTTGCCAAACAATGCATAAGTTAGCTACAACCCGTCATCACCACAAAGCCTATTTTTGACTTTTGAGAAGATAAAAAAAAAAAAGTCTTGAGCATTCCATACTCAAGTTCTGTTGATGCATCCAGCGTGGTCCAATCTATCAACTAAAAAAGATTATTTCATCTGCAGAATCTCACCGGCACCTCAATACTTTTCGTTTTCATACAACAGAATTACTCTTAACAATTTTCTCATTTACAACTTCCACTTTGCTAATACATCAGGAAATTGAACCATATATTATATACTTTTATATTTTTATTATAAAACCATATATTATATTACTACCTCCGATTACTTTTATACGTAATTTTAGAATATTTTATATCTCTTAAATAATACTCCAAAATTGCATATAAAAGTAATTGAAGGTAGTATATCATTCTATAGTATTTGCATATTGCAAGTATTAGACTGTTATTTGTTTTTAATTGACCAAGTTGAAGAAGACGTATATATTTATTTATTGGCTTCCCATTTATTCATTTCTTCCAAATCTCACGGTATCAAAACTATCAATCAAAAATCAACCTTTTTGAAGAGGATTTCTTTTGCTTAATTTCTAGGCGCACAACTTTAAAGTGGTCAGAAATATTTTCGGAAAAGCGGGAAAAGGGAAAGAGGTAAAGAATTTGTTCGATTTTCATTAAAGTTTCCCCCTTTTTTGCCATTTTGTTTATTTTTTTTGTTTTTACTGGAAAAAAAAGGCTCAATCTTTATATTTTTAGTGTGATTCCATAATACCCAGATCGTAAATTTTTTTGGGGTTGTTGTATTTTTGTAAGATTTGTGTTTTTATTGTTGGGTGTTTTCGATCTGATCTTGTCCAGGTACTTGTTGATTTGTTTGTGTATTGTAATTTTTTTTTGTTGAATTATTGATCTTAGATTTTTGCATGGTGAATTTTGTTGGATTGAGAATGTGAAGATTTAATTTTGTTTATTGATGAATTTTAGGAGTAGAATTTTCTGATTTGTTTTTGAAATTTGGATTTTCTGGACATTTTTAGCTGATTTTAGTTTGAATTTTAGGTTTTGTCATCAAAATTTGGCAGCTGAGCCCTTAATTTCAGTGGAAATTATGTTAATTTGAGGATTTTTTTTTTCTCTTAATTCGATTTCGGGTTATGTTGTAATGTGATGAATCATTCAAATTGCAACTGTCTTTTGTGAATTCTTCAACTGAATTGATGCAGAAAATTTTACTACTTGTTGATTCTGATTCACTGCTAAATCAATGTTCAGTCACCTTGCACATTTTACATTTATGGAGTATTAGTTATGGCATATAACTTTAAATTTATGAATCTCTGAAATATTAACCATTCTGCTTATATGGAAATTGCACCAACAGTTTTGAAAGAATATGTAATGCTGATTGCTATTATAATTTCGACATGTTTCGAGTCTTAATTCTCTTTAGATATAATAGTATATCGACTTGTTGATATTTCCTTTTGTAACTATATGTTTCAAATTTCAATTACTTGTAAAGCAATAACATTAAATTGCTAGCTGATTCTGAAATTTCATGATATATAAGCATATAAGTTTTATTTTCAGGTTCTAGTATTCTGACAAAAAAAAAAATCTGAATTTTGTTGTTGCAGTTTTGTTCATTACCATCTAGTAGACCCAGGGTCCTGGGGGCATCTGGGTATTTTTAAAATGGAATACGAAAATCATAGTTGGATTTGGGATGGAGTTTGCTACTACCCGCATGTATTTGGAGGAATAATGATCACAGCAGCTCTACTCGGTCTATCGACAAGCTACTTTGGCGGGATCGGAGTACATTATCTGCCGTATATGTGTCCTGGTTTTGGTATTTTGAAAAAGCGTGCACATGAGAAGAAACGTGTCAGAGTATACATGGATGGATGCTTTGATTTGATGCATTATGGTCATGCAAATGCACTGAGGCAAGCGAAGGCTCTAGGAGATGAATTAGTTGTAGGAGTTGTTAGCGATGAAGAAATTATGGCTAACAAAGGGCCTCCAGTGTTGTCTATGGAAGAAAGGTAATCAACATAAAATCGTTGTTAATGATTATATGTCATTTGTTGATTGCTAATGGCCGATATTGGTATATCATAGTCGTGAACTTGTGATCATTGATTTTATTTATAAGAAAGAAGTTATGTGTTTGGAACCAATTGTCGTAAATTAAGAGATATTGATCATCTCTCCGTGAATAATATTTACCATATAAAGTTTGTGTCATGGAATCTCTCACTTTCATTTCTTACTTATAAGTCTACACATTCAATGTCGGGATTTAGTGGCTTCTTATAAATCCATTTTCCTGCAAACTGTTACCTGATTTGTAAGGAATCAAAAGACGTGACAGAAGACTTTAGTAAAATTGCATGTTTTTGGGTCTTTAATGTTACGCATTGCTGCTGCTTCAGTGCTCTAAATCAAGTCAACTTTCAGGTTGGCACTTGTTGGTGGGTTAAAATGGGTCGACGAAGTCATTCCTAATGCTCCCTATGAAATTACAGAGCAGTTTATGAAAACTCTCTTTAAAGAGTACAAAATTGACTATATCATACATGGTGATGATCCTTGCTTACTTCCTGATGGCACTGATGCTTATGCATTGGCAAAGAAAGCTGGCCGCTACAAACAAATTAAACGTACAGAAGGAGTTTCAAGCACAGACATTGTAGGTATTATTTCTTTTATTTCCCTCGATATGGCAAAATAGAAGTGTAATTTTCGGCTAAAAAGAGAGAGTCTAGCTGTCGGCAGTTGATATTGATTACTGCACATAGGGGTTGGTTTATCTTGTTTCTTTATGATTCCTACAATAGGTTGTACGGAGTGGATAGCTTCTACTCATGTGCATCTCTATTGACGTATCTGATGTGCTCCAAACTATCCATTGTGAACAATAATAGACCAAGGTGGCTGGATGGAATTGATCTGCTTGCTGTGAGAGAGAAAGAGAGACCTGATGCCTTTGAATTGTAGTTGATTTTAATGCATGATGTTTCACGTATATGTAGGAAGGATACTTCTAACTGGTCGTGATCAAAGTGCTCACAAAGATAGTGATGATCTGACTTTACATGAGGAATCTTGTGGCGTTAAGCAAGTCACTAAGATAAAGCAGCCTACAGTTGGTCATTTATCTCATTTTCTTCCCACCTCCAGGCGCATTGTGCAGTTCTCAAATGGGAAGGTATTCAAAGTTATCATAGTGGTGATTTTTTTTTATTCCCATTTATATCCCTTTTTGAATCAGATAGGATTTACTACATTTTACTTTCGTTACAAAATCCTGAAGAAATTGGTAAAAGAATATATAAGTGGAAACTGGAAAGGCTTACCAATTTAAGGACCTTGCATGATGAAGAATTTGGCTAAAACCTACGCTTTGAATAGTACAAAAGTGAAGAAGTATAGGGGTAACTCTTAATGGCTTTAGTTTTGCCTACCTTCTAAGTTATGGGTACTCTTCTGGTGCATTATGATCTTTACTGCTGAAATCTACAAGCATATACCAATAGAAATATCTAGCGGGCTAGAGGAGCGTTCTACCAGAAAATGTATTGAGCTACCTTGATTAAGAATAGTGAGAAAATGTCTTCGTGATTTTATGCAAGCTATATATTAATATAATGCTGCCCGTATCCTTTATTAATAATATGTTCTTGTTGACCTTTCTGAACCCCCATGTATACAATAATATCTATCTATACCCTTTCTTAACTGTAGTGAGCTAGTATGTACAAATTGCCAAATAATTTGATCTGTTCTTCAGGCATCATTTTTAGTGATTAGAGTTTTGGGAATGATTTTTTCAACTTCCTCCTCAGTCCTTGCATCAATTTCTTACTGCCTTTTCCAATCCTTGACCTCTTTAAAAAAAAAATGAAAACACTTGGTCTTAATTATAACATTGCATTCTCATCTGAATTATGATTGCAGGGGCCTGGACCAAATGCTCGTGTTGTGTATATTGATGGAGCATTTGATCTTTTCCATGCTGGACATGTCGAGGTGAATCATAGAGACCCTTATTCTGCAATTTCTGATGTTCATTATACTTCGAAGAATACTGAATTTACTTATTTTTCCATGCTTATATAATTAAAATGTGAAAATAACGCTTTGTTTTACTGCTTTCATTATTTGTGTTGGATATATGATTATATGATGCTCAAAGACTTAACAAAGTAGCTGTCTTGAGAAATTAGTTTGGATGCTTGATTAAGGGCCCCTTAAATTACCAAGTATTCTCTGCAAACATTGGACATGAAACAATTCAATAAGTTAAAAGGCAGAATAAACGGTGATTTCATAGATTTTATTAAGTTCGAGTTTGCAGAGAATTGGTCAATTTTATGGGTATTGCTTTGATCATTAATTGGGAGACAGCTGCATGTTCTACTGTTGTTTAATCTTTTGTTATTTGAATGATTCATCTTCATGAAAACTCTTTTACTTTTGTCTTTTCATGCTTTCACTGCTGGACTTTCTCAGTAGTGTCTTATGATTGCAAGCGCTTAGTGTTTCTTCTTATACATACAGATACTTAGAGCTGCTCGACAGCTTGGAGATTTCTTACTTGTTGGAATTTACACTGACCAAACTGTCAGGTATCTTGTTTCTTATCCTATCCATTCTTTAATGTAATTGGATTAAGATATTCTTTGGTTTCATCTACCTGGCAACCTGATGTCAGATACCATAGGACTGCTAGAATCTAAACCTCTTTATTTTTGTGTAACAGTTACTGATACTTTTGACTACATTGTTTCTTAATGATGTTTTGCAGTAGTGTTACTTTATGCTATTTATAAAGAAAGTCCTGTCTTTTACAGCGAGAAAACATAAGGATTTAGGATCATCAAAATGTTGAATTTTTAATTCTTCATTTCTCTTGGCTGATCTTCAGAAAATAATTGGGTCTTGTTCCTTGCAGTGAAATTCGAGGGCCAGGATATCCATTGATGAATTTACATGAGCGCAGTCTCAGTGTATTGGGTTGTCGTTATGTTGATGAAATCATCATGGGTTCACCGTGGGAGGTCACTGCAGACATGGTTTGTTCTCTTTCATTTCAGTTTAATTATTTCAACTTTTGAGAAGATTTTAGTTCGATCTCAATAATTGGAAATTTTGCTCCATTTTGTTGAATTGCTCAACTGCCCTACTCTTTATCTGTAATTTTTGTAATTAGAAATCACTAATTCATAGTCGCTAAGATCTCAAGGAAATTGCAAGTTTGCTCTATAGGTACAAGCTAACATTAATGTGAAGTTGTAAATGCCCAGTTAGTAATTCCAAGAAATTCTGGAGTAATACAGAAGTTAGAAAGTGTTCTGTTTTTTTACACATAATTGTAATTACCTGGCTAATCATGAAGTGCTCATGATCACGGTAAACTCCTATGCTTCTTTAGCAGTAGATAAAGTAAGAAGCTTGTAACAGTTGAGTAAACACAGTTTCCTACACAGTTGTTTGATGGGATTATTGATACCCCTGTTGTGTTATCTATGTTGGCAACAAGTAAATGGAATCAATATTAGAATGTGACTGACATCAAATAAAATCATTATCATTATCCTTACATTTAACTGAATGACTTCATTGAAGCAACCTGTTTAGTTTAGTAATATTCTTACTATTTCTTAGATTTGTTGATCCAATTTTATTTTTGTGACATCATGCTAACACCAAATCTTTTCGGTGCAATGGGAAGCAGGTAACAACCTTCAACATTTGTTTGGTAGTGCATGGAACAATATCGGAGGCTAATCCTCTAATCAATGTAAGCTCTACTTGACGCACTGCTCATAATTAATCAAAAGCTTCATTTGAAAGAAAAACATGAACCTGAGCCTGAACTAAACATGAACCTGAGCCTGAACTATTTCAATCCTGTGTATTTCAGGGAGATGCTGATCCCTATGTAGTGCCCAAGAGTATGGGTATTTTCAGGGTGATTGAAAGCCCCCAAAACATAACTACGTCTTCTGTGGCCCAAAGAATTATCACCAATCATGAAATCTACAAGGTATATTCATACATCATAAATTAATAAATCTCCTTTGATAATCAAAACTCTGCCATTTTTCTTTATCGGAGGTTCAAATCATCCCTCTATCTGTGCAGAAACGAAACCTTAAGAAGGTGCAAAGTGAGAAGAAATACTATGAAGAGAAGACATATGTGTCGGGAGACTGAGAATCCCCAAATGTCGTTAAACATATCTCCATCGATGCAAGCCTCCCCAGAACAGGCTTAGAAATGCATGTATAGTTTGCAGATAGATACTCGTGGATAGGCTCAATGCTAATAGCTCGAGAAAGAAGATAGCAAGCCAAGTCATTGATTGAACCTAGGCTGCCTTGAGTTGCCTAACATCCTGGTCATCCTCTCTCCGCCCCTTTCTCATTGCTAAGTCGTCAGTGGTAATGCAGTACATCCTCAATTATCAATTAGCAGAATATGCAGCTCATATTTATATTTATATTATAATCGTGAAAGTTCACTCTGCAAGGAGGAAGTTTTGTTGTGTATTTTTTTTTCTCTCCACATCCTACTGAGTTTAGGGAAATATCTTTTAGTTTTTTTTTTTTTTTTTTTTTTTTTTTTTTAATTTTTTTTATTTATTTATTTATTATTATTATTATTATTATTATTATTATTATTATTATTATTATTATTATTATTATTATTATTATTATTATTATTATTATTATTATTATTATTATTATTATTATTATTATTATTATTATTATTATTATTCCCTTTGTTTCGTGGAGGGTTTTACACCCTTTCGGCCCTATTTAGTTGTGTATTTGTATTAAATCCTCTACCATGAAGATTCATTCTTTTAACTCTCTTTTGTTGGATGGAGTAATATGCTGAAGTTGATAAGCTTTAGCATTTTTGTTAAAATTTATCGACTCATTCGAATACAGCTGAACCATAATCTACTGTGTTTATGCTGAACAGATACACTTTGCTTTTTCATGCCTACTTGCCTAGTCCCTCTTATGTGATGGCAGCTCTCACAAAATTATACCCACCCTGATTTCCTTGCTTAAAAACTTTGTGTTGCACTCAAAATTTGTTGATTCAAAATTCAAATTAACTTAGAGAAATTACTTCAACTTATTTTGATGGCGTGAGCCATTAGGGAACACACCAAATCATCTTTCCTTGTCCTCAATCTTATAATTAATGACAGGTTTTGCACCTTTTATTGATATTTTTTTATACACGATCTTTAGTTTTCTACGATATTTTTTATACACGATTTGCTAGTTTTCTAGCATAGCACTGTAACATATACTTTACCATTTACAACTCGGTTATTATTTGTTGCAAATGGATGTGTAGATATTTATGCACAAATTCATTGACAAAGAAGCATGATATTAAATGGTAAAGGTTTTAGGACCTTAGCAAACACATCTATGAACCAAGATACTAAGGGAGCAAGCGATTACGACAATATTATGGATGTGAGCCAAATCATTTACTTCGTATAAAACCTGAAGGAATCCATTAAAAATTACAATCGCTCGATCAGGACATGAACATACAACTGCGCTGCAAAATCACGCTCGTATAGCAACCTAAACAACCCCGCTCACCCTCCAAGATCTCCTCACCACTAGATAGAAACAACAGATCATAAAAAATTCTGCTTCTACATCAAAAACAGTTCCCATCACTAGGGAACACTTGTAGCAGTGAAAGTTCCCTTCAACGACCATAACTGCTCAGGTCAAATCTTCTTTCATCTCAAAATTCAACCTACATTTTCGACCTACTACGTACATTGATTATTGGCGGTATCTGTCACTTATTCACCTGTACCACACAATTGGAGTTGAGGTATTCTGAGGAGGTTGAGGAACCATGCAATGTTGCTGCTGCAGCCATTGATGTTGCAAGCTTTCGTTAAAATTAGGAAGGTTACTGTACTCACTTGCTATTCCAACGTTTGCAGCATCTTGATCTTCAACTTCCATCATTGCTGTTTCCATCTCTTCAGCATCCATTGATTCTGACACCTCTGTTTCAGAAGCAAGAGTTTGTGATACTGGGTTGACAGTCTGAGATGGCACCCAAGGGATGACCGCCCTGCATCCATTCTCCTTAAGGTCATTTTCATTGGCTTCATCCTCATCATTAGATCTGCCAGACTTTAGGCTGTTCCAAAAAGTTTGATCTGTAAAAAGATTCAAGTAAACAACTCAACATTGTTTAAATATCCAGCAAACTAACAGCTAGCATTCTCACGATGCTGAAAAATCAAGCATCAAGGACGCATTGTATAAGACCTTTGGTCACTTAGAGTGAACCCTGTCAAGCCACTAATCTAAATTATAGCACGAACTTAAAACTGCACCAGTTAGGAGGCATCCTATCAAAACTTTATCTAAGCGATACTTCACTATCACAAACACATTAAACCATTGATGTTGACCATGTCGAAGTATATCAGTCTCTCAATTGATCAAATTATTAGTTTATTTATATAAAAACAAGAACAGAAGCAACCATCCCCAAGTATGAATCCCGCTCTAAGCAAGGTTTTCTAATCCTGTCCTGACAACTTTATTATCAGAACAAACTAAGCAAAGTGCCAAAAAAAAAAAAAAAAAAAAAAACAAGAGCCAGCATCAGCATTGTAGAAGTGATCAACACTTCAAGGTCAACATATGATAAAAATATATAAGATTGCTAAATGTTGAACACAAACAACAGAAACTGAGTATAGATAACAAATTCGGATACTCAAAACTGAGTATGAATCTCACTTTTGAAAAAGGATACCAAATTCGGATCAACAGAAAAATTCCTTTGAGAGAAAACACTATGATCCTTCATAGGTTTGAATAGAACAATAGCTTTCTCTTCATTCTCAGGAATAGATGGCAGCTCCTCAATGTCCAGTGGATTCACTTGATCTCCCAAACCACTAGAGATGTTGTTCTGAGGCACCGATTGCTCGTAAACCGGCTGAAAATCTAGTTCCTCATCTTCAATTATCGGCGGCAAATCAGCATCCTAATCAATCCCAAATTCCAACATTAGGAACTACTTTGTATTAACCAATGAATAAATACTTCATTCTGAGTCAGTAAATGACATAATAAATCAACTAAACACCATCTTCTTAACCACAATCATCAAACCTTGACTTAATTCGTTAAATTATCCTAATTACGTCTCGAATTTTGAAACTTAATTTAGTAACTACCTACTTAATTCATAACCTATTTCTGATCAAACAGTGAATTAGACATCTAAATGACTAATTTCCAAGACCAAACACCATAAAGTCCACGCAATTTCATGATTTCTCATACAATTCATGCAAAAAATAACTGAACAACAATTCAACAAGCTAAATTAGGGAATTGAACTGCCTGCTACTGTAAGAGAAGAACAAAATTAGAGCAAATCAACATTTCTGATATTCAGCTTAAGCATAAATATCATAAAATGCACAATTAACCAAATAATTATGATCAATTAGAAGCTTCGAACCTAAAAAACCAGCAATTGTCCAAGTTTCCAGAATCATAGATGCAAAATCAAGCTAAAATCAGAGCCCTAGGAGAGAGAAAAATCAAAGTAACAACAAATTCACTTCAATTTACTCAAAGAAGAGAGAGAAATTTACCAAACGACGGATTTTTCGAGCAGGAGAAGAGAGAGAAAAATCGGAGAAATCATCATTAACTTCCTCCAAATCCTTCCTCTTGAGCTTAAATCCATTGTAATCCTCCATTAATTGATCGTCAAATTTCACGAAAGAGAAGAAAAATCAGTGGAATCAAAAACCCTAAATTGTTGGAGGAATTGAATAATTAAATATGATGAATAAAATTGGAGAGAAAAATGAAGAATAGTAGAAGTAAGTGGAAAATGGGAGTTTTGAGAAAGTAAATTAAGTTTATTAAATAATGTAGAAAGAAAAAGAGGTTTCGGTTGAAGTCTAGATTTTTCCAGACTTGAAAATACCGGGAAATTCTCAAATTGCATTTTTTTTTTTTTTTTCCCTCAAAACAATCACAATGTTTTTTTTTTTTTTCCCCAAATTTGTTATGTGGTAAGGTGAGGAAATGAGGTGTGTTACTAGCTCGGAACAGTAGTACACCGTAGATTGTGCGCACGATACCATGATGAGAAAAAAGGCACATGTACATTTGGTGTACAAATGGAAGATGTACACCACTAGTGATATTGTGGCAATTTAGCAAATCCTATTTATTAGAAGAGGGAAGCTGAAATATTGGGAGGATAAATTGCCTAAGTTCAACAGGATTTAATAGAGTGAGTGTTTAGTGAAGAAGAAGAATAAGAAAAACATGATATGTATTTTGTTTAATAAATGTGTGCATAGGCGGAACTACGTTGCATTATAATGGGTCACATGTTTCACTATTAATTAAAAAAAAAAAAAAAAAAAAAAAAGAGATAGAGAAAAGTTGGTAGTTAATCTAATGATTGATTATTATTATTAACAATCATTGTTTCACTACACATTAGATTGCTTAACTTTTTGACAAAGTTGGATTGTTTAATCTACTAGGTTATACTTCCTTCATTCCAAATTAGATTACAAATTTCTTTTATCACGTTTATCAATGTAAAAAAAACAATCAAAAATATCTTTAATTATGTTATTGTAAAAAATACTAAAAATTGAATTTTAATTGAGTACACATTAAAATGAATCTGACAAGATCTCACATGGCTATGTTTTTTTTATACCTATTCATAAAAAATGTTAGTCAAAGGAAAGTTAATTAATAATGTCATAAGTCAAAATGTGTCATCTAATTTGGAATTAAGAAAGTAATATTCTTATATATCTTTTTGTAGCTCAAAAAAATCTTTAAATTATTTTGAGTCATTTAAAGCTATAACTCAACTAGTTTATACCTTAACGAGACGTTTGACCCGACAAGAAGGATAGGGATAGAGATGGCTTTAGGCTAGGCTGGGCCGGATCATAGTCCAAACCATGGGCTTTAGGGTTGCATAGGTTCAGCTCACGGCCCGATCAATCATCAATAGACTAGGTTGAGTCAGACTCAAATATTGAAAAGTAAGCCCAAGCACAACCCACTCCCATGGGTCTCGAAGGTTGGGCTGGTTCAAGGGCCAATCCAAAGGGTTGCCAAATTAAAAAATAAAAAAAAAAATTAAAAATTAAGTAAAAAAATAAAAAATTCCTAATTTCGTGTTGTCTACTACGCTAATTTATCAGACCCAATAACCATTCATATTAGTTGTCACCAAAAAATTTACAAGTACAAAACAGAATACAAAATAAAAACTTCATTACCTAGAAACATAAATAATTATCACAGTATACACTAGTAACCAAAGGGAAATTGTGTAATTGAAAATAGTAGAATGTTTACGAAAAGAAAAAAATATAAAAGACAAAAAGCAAGGGTAAGGTTGTGCTTTACTAGGCTTTGGGCTCATGGACTGAGCTTGATGTGCTAGCCCACGAGCCTAACATGGGATGAGGGTTGGGCTTGTTCCAAAAAAAACCACAAAAAACAAGGCTTAGGCTTAGGCCCATCCCGTAGCAGGCCGAGTTAGTTGGGATTGTCATGGGCCTAGACTGAGCTAGACAGTGAACGGGCCCAGCTCAAAGCCATCTTTACATAAGGATTCGAAGGATAAAAGAGTGGAATAAGGATATGATAAGAGGGCGGGATTTATCCAGTTATCCTTATCCAATTATCTTATCCTTTCTATCCCTATCCCTAATAACAGTGGGCTACACTGCATTCTATATAAATGAACACTACACTCTAAAATTATTTATATAGATCTGGGTGCAGCATACACCCAGGGTCATTTGTGTCTTTTAGCATAGTTGAGAGGAGTTTCATATCACACGTTTCTATTTTTCTAATTATTAGTCAACCATTTTAACAAAACACGCTTCTCAAAGCTTCTTGAAGAATTTTGTCTGATTTCTGCTATCTTTCTCTCTCTTCCTATCTTATACATTCTTTCTCTCTTTCCCCCTTTCTTTCTTCCCACCTTTTCCTCTCTTCATTTTTTTATGGTTTTTGATTAAAAAAAAAACCGACTTTGGTGAAGGTGATAACAATGGATCATAGGCGTCATCTAGGTAAATTTAGTTTTTTTTTTTTTTTTTTTTTTTTTTTTTTTTTTTTTTTTGTTCAAAACAAATGAAACCGCATATGACATGAGAAAATTTGAGCTAGGCACTTAGCTGTTTAATTCACTGTAGTTTTGCTTATTTGATCTGATCTGAACTTATTTTTACTTATTATCATATCAGAACTTTTTCAGATCTAATCTAATCTGAACTTTTTCTGATATAATCTGATCTGAACTTATTATTTCTTTTTATCTTATCTGATTTGATTATCTGATTTGACCAAACTTTGACATATATGTACGTTAGATTCACACAAATGTATATCAAATGTGGTCTTGTTAGACTCGTAATTATTAATATGTAATTTTCATAAAAAAATTTATTACAAAATTAAAATGACAAAAATCACACATAAATCGATGTATATAGTGTATTCATAACTTATTTTTTCTAATATAATTTGAATTTATTTTTTTCCTATAAGGTCCGTGAGCTAAACCATAGAATTGCATAATTGCTTTAAACAACTATATTTAAGCCATCCAATCAACAAATGAGAAGAAAAATTATTGTCCATTTATTAAATGAGGAAAGAATTATTGCTCATTTATTATAAAAGCAAACATTTACTGCCCATTCAATGAATTATGAACAAAACAAATTGAGTCATTAAAAAGCAAATGAGCAACATTGTCACTAAACCTTTTGAATTAAACATCATGATTTTGCCGAATTAAACATAATAACAAAGCTTAGATAAATTGAGACATAAATATAAGTAAATGAGCAATTTATAAACTGTTAAAAAGAAAAAAGACCAAATTGATCCAAATGAAAATAAAAGAGAAATATAGTTGCAATGAGAGATGAAATTTTTTAATGATTTGTGTTATTATTTAGGATTTTTTGACTTTTACTAACAAAAAAAAAAAAAAAATCGAAAATTCTAAAACTTTTATTTTACCACCAAATAAAAAATAAAAAATTATTTTTTACCACTAGTCGTCAAAAACTTAACGGAATTTTTTAAATTCTTCGATTTCCATGCCAAACACATGGTTTTTAGGGGTTTTGGGGTCATTTTGGACCTTGGGATCCAATTTGAGGTCAAAAATTGACAAAAAATGATCGAAAAAGTCTCATTTTGCGTGTTTAAAAATACCTTGATTTGCATGAAACACGCAAAACGAGGCATTTCCGATTATTTTTTGTCAATTCTGACCACAAATTGGGCCCATAGACCCAAAATGCCCCCCTAAACCTATGAAGAACATACTTTGCGCACGAAAATCGTAGAATTTTTTTTAAGCCGTTAGATTTAACGGTAGGTGGTAAAAAACAATTTTTATAAATTTTTTGTGGTAAAATAAAAATTTTAGAAGTTTTGGTGGTAAAAAACAGTTTTTTGATTTTTTTTTTGGTGGTAAAAGTAAAAAAAAAAAAATCCTATTATTTAATTCTATAAAAAAAAAATATATAAGTGACATCCAAAAAATTTTTGAAGAAAAAAAAAATGAACAAATGAGTAAAATTATGAGCAAAATGAGCAATCTCTCCTCTTCTTTCTGCAGATCCATCATGTAGCACAGGAAGTTTGTTTTGAGATTGTTGAGAGGACGTTGCCGCCATTGGTGGCGGTGTTGCTAGCTAGTGTGCTGCTGGATATGGGAGAAGCGATGAGTATTGGAAGAAAATCAAACAACTCTAAAACATACCAAACCAATCCAAAAATGGAAGAAAATCAAACAACACTAGTACGTTTTGGTATAATGGGATGTGCAACAATAGTTAAAAAAATGAGTAGAGCCATGAAGCTAGCCCCAAACTCCACCCTTGACGCCATTGCTAGCCGTTCACTCGAAAAAGCCGAGGCATTCGCAACACAAAACGAGCTATTAGACGATCAAGGGAAGTTGATCAAGACATATGGAAGCTACATTGAGTTGCTAGATGATGATGAAGTGGATGCAATTTATATGCCTTTGCCTACGAGTTTGCACGTTGAATGGGCTGTTTTGGCTGCTTCTAAGAAGAAGCATTTGTTACTTGAAAAACCTACTGCCTTGAACTTAGCTCAACTCGACCAAATATTAGAAGCTTGTCAAGTTAATGGGGTGCAATTTATGGATGGAACTATGTGGCATCATCACCCTAGGACAGCTAAAATGAAGCAGATCATCTCTAATTCGGCCAATTTCGGACATATTCATACGGTAATTTATTCGACAGAGTCTGATCTAACGATCCCTTGGCAAGAAAAAACAGCCTCCTTTGTTGTTCTCCAGATTGGATCGAATGTTTCAGAGGAAGTCGTCGTGGAGACTCAGGTTCCGCAAGAAGCTCTCATGGTACAAGAATTTGGTCGCCTTGTAAAGGGAATCAAGAGTTGTGATAATAACGTGGGCTGAGATTAGCAGGAAAACTCAGACGGTTGTAGATGCAGTTAGGAAATCTGTTGATCTTGGTTACAAACCTGTGTGTATCTGTAGTTACAAATGCACCAGCTAAGTAGGCCAACTGCTTAATCAAGTTTTATTATCCTTAAATAATGTAATAAAAGAGGGTTGGGCCGGCTCAAATTTGAAAATTAAGGCCCAAGCCCATGAGTCACAAGGGCTGGTCCAAGGGTTAGCCCGTGGGATTCTTTTTAAAATAAAATAAATAAATACATTACTAATTTTGTGTTATATGCTATGCTAGTTTATCAAATAAACCAAAAAAACATTCATTAGCTATCAGTTTATCAATAATAATTTTATTATATGTACAAAACAGAATACACGCTGGGATTAAAATATACATCGTAGCATAGAAACATAAAAAAGGAAAATGGGTATACACTAATGACTAAAGGAAAAAATGAATAATTAAAATGGTACGTAGTAGAATATTTATGAAAAGGAAAAATATAAGTACAAAATGTAAGGTTAAGGTTGTGTTGTACCGAGCTTTAGGCCCATGGACAGAGCTTAACGTGCTAATCTACAGGTTTAACATGCGATCAAGTAGGCCTAAAACGGGCCAAAGGTTGGAATAAGACCTACCCTATCAGTCTATCACTCATACCAATGCCCGACACTCTATATAAGTAATTATATAACTAAATAAGTGGATGTTACACCCCTCTTCCTAAGAAATGAACTAGGTGCTCCTAGCACCATCAAAATTGTTTGGATACTAGCTAAACAACGTTTTCTTATCCTCACCCATAACCATACACTATATCACCATTTCACATCATTAAAAGGAAAAAAAACACACACACACAAACAACTCCAAAACATACCAAACCAATTGAAAAATGGAAGAAAAGCAAACAACACTAGTACGTTTTGGCATTATGGGATGTGCAAGGATAGCTAGAAAAATAAGTAGAGCCATCAAGCTAGCCCCAAACTCCACCCTCCACGCTATTGCTAGCCGTTCACTCGAAAAAGCCGAGGCATTCGCAACACAAAATGAGCTATTAGACGAGCAAGCGAAGTTGATCAAGACATATGGAAGCTACATTGAGTTGCTAGATGATCAAGAGGTGGATGCAATTTATATGCCTTTGCCCACAAGTTTGCACGTTGAATGGGCTGTTTTGGCTGCTTCTAAGAAGAAGCATTTGTTACTTGAAAAGCCTACTGCCTTAAACTTAGCTCAGCTTGACCAAATATTAGAAGCTTGTCAAGTTAATGGGGTGCAATTTATGGATGGATCTATGTGGTATCATCACCCTAGGACAGCTAAAATGAAGCAGATTATCTCTAATTCGGCTAATTTCGGACATATTCGTAAGGTAATATTATATGAGCACCACCATTGTTGTATGTCATGTGTAGTGACGATCCTAAATTGTCAAATTTTCGTACTTGATTTTTTGCCACAAGGATGTCTTAATTTTGCTCCCCTGAATCTTTCAGATAAGTTGTACATCGTCTTTCCGAGCAGGCTCGGATTTTCTAAACAGCAACATAAGGGTAGATCCAGAATGTGATGCACTTGGAGCACTTGGTGACTTAGGCTGGTATTGCATTGGACTGATCTTATGGGCAGTTAATTATAAACTACCAAACTTTGTAACGGCTTTACCTGAAGTTACCCTTAATTCAAAGGGCATCATATTGGCTTGTACTGCCTCCTTTCACTGGGAGGAAGAACCCAAGACAAGTGCAACATTTTATTGCTCATTTCTTTCTCATGTGTCCATGGACTTGACCGTGTGTGGTTCGATAGAGTCTGTTCACGTAAATGATCTAGCGATCCCTTATCAAGAAAAAGCAGCCTCTTTTCTTCTCACATCCGGAGCAAAGTGTGTGAATCTTCAGATTGGATGGAATGTCGAACCAGAGGAAGTCGTTGTGGAGTCTCAGCTTCCTCAAGAAGCTCACATGGTCCAGGAATTTGCTCGTCTTATAAAGGGAATCAAGAGTTGTGAGAAGTGCCCTGATAAAACGTGGCCTGAGATTAGCAGAAAAACTCAGATGGTTTTAGATGCAGTCAGGGAATCTGTTGATCGTGGTTACAAACCTGTGTATCTGTAGGCAAACTGTAGTTGCACCTTTTGCAAACTGCTCAGTCAAGTGGACATGAACAACATGATGTCTTTATTTTTTATTTTTTTTGAAGGACAACATAATATCTCTTTCACAAGATAGTGTCATCATCTCATCTTATAAAAAAAAATGTCAACAAAATCCAACATTCAGTAATACAGAGTATTCAACAAGTACTTTTCACCTGAAAAAGGCCTGCCTAAATTGCTTTGTGCCAAATGATGATCTAAGATACAAAGGAGAGAACTGCAAACAGAAGAGGATAATTCAAAGTAACTCGGGAAAATCGTAATCAAGCTTTTATTGATCTATTATTGAAAGAGATAAGGTCTGAATATCTGTACATGAGATATCATTTCTAAGCCTAGAACCACAGCAAATCTACATTAACAAATATCCATCTATCATCTCCTCTCGTATCCATCGCATTATTTACTGCTCTAACCTAATTATACATGCTGTAAACTAAAATGTACATATTATGTATGGTAAATTGGTAATAGGGTGTGTGACCTATGAACTTGTATCAACATCAGGCTTCAGCAACAGAATGATGGAAGAATAACTCAGCATTGGGTACAAATTGCCTTCAAGGAAATGCTCAAACTGCTGAACTGCTATCTCTCTTTCCGACACATTATCAGACAGAAAGTCAAATGGTGTTGGCTTGCTGGTGTCTACCAGTGGCTCCCATCGGTAACCAGGGCGATCAGGCAAAGTCACGGTGACTGGTTTATGACTGGTGTTGAAAGCAACATATATTTCTCCCTTTACCAAGTCTTTCTGCACCCACCAATAATAAATTACTTAAGAGAGGAATATGTATCAAGCATAATGACAATAAGTCTATAACTAGCATGTGACAACTATTTCTAAATGGAGGGTAACGTATCAAATAACAAATGGTTCCTTAGTTGGGCTATTAGGAGTGAAACAGCATTCTAAACATTTTGCTGTCTGCCAAGAGACGACGATATTCTGAAGATTTAGGATATGTCGATTGGTTCAATAATGACAGTGTGCCAAGGCCCTTTAGGGTTCATTTGGACTGAGAGCATGCATCAAATCAAATAGAATATTTGCGTGGATTTTTATTAATATGGCAACAACAAACAAGCTCATGCCTATTTAAGTGTTTCATATATTCACACACAAGCTTTGAGAGCCTAAAACTGTACTTTTAAGTTATTCTTTAGCCAAGCATTCAGCTGATCTGTGATTTATCTATCGAAATAAATATTTGAATTTTGATGGAGTACAAAAACATAACCTTTTTTAACAAATACTGAAAGAAAAAGGCACTGAGAAATTAAACTCACCAAAGTAAATGCCACAAAACGACTTGTCTCGGACCAATCTGGATGCTCAGGGATGTGGCCATGCCATTGCAGTCTTTCAGATGTTGGAAATTCATTCAAACCAAGTGACTCGCATTCACTTATTGAGTAAGCATGCAAAAAGAATCTATTAGTGGCTGATGGGAGAAAGTTAGCATTCACAATAAGTTGTGATACCAACTCACCTTCGAAATTTGGTCATCAGACGGCAGAATCTGAAGAAATCATTAGTAGCCTCCTCCTTCTTATCCCACCGAAAATAGTTGATCTGCATCTTAGAAAATATTAGTCAAATGAGTCCACAAGTGTGCTTCGTGTTAGATTCAAAAGGGAGCAGCTATTACATAGTTATCATGGCAGTATGAGTTGTTATTTCCTCCTTTTGTGTGGCCATATTCATCACCCATGTACATCATAGGAACACCCTGCCAATACAAAGGAAAATTGAAAAAGGATTCATGTGGAATATAGAGGCATCAATACTGAGAAGCTCCAATAATTACATGTATATCACACAAAATACGAATACGTATGGTAAAGCCCCAAGAAGCTCAGTCAAATATACAGTTCCTCTTAACAAAAGCATCAAAAACAATATCAGTGATTAAGTGTTAATTCATCATTTCCACCTACACATTACATTTACCTCCATTTATGAATTTAATTAAATAGAGGAGCGATCTTCAATTACTCCGTATTTAATTGCATCAGAGTTAAGAGAGCAAATTTCACTCATGCTGAAGAAACAGGAGCTACTAACTCAAATCTGAATATATTATCACAGTATATACCACTCTTGTCCATACTTTACTCCGTGGTTTTACAATGTTAAGCAAGCCCTAAAGAACCCACCACTACCTATGTATAGCTAGCAAGGAAGTCAACTATGAAATAAAATAGATATGGTAATTGAAGTCATTCGTCAAGTTTTTATCACGATAGAGAGAAATTTAATAGTCAATTATTCAAACATACCTGGGAAACCATGAGGCAAAGGAAAAAATTCCGCATCTGTCGCCTCCTCAATTTCTTCACAGTCATACTGGCAAATTCACCCTCCTGAAAAACAGCATGGCGTAAAACAAGAGGGGTTATATATGGGAACCAAAAGGAGAAATGTGTATCCAACAAAGTTAATGCCTCCATATACTGACCAACAATTAGTATTGATGCCCTATTGATTTATATGAACCTCTACCAGCCCCTTGAAGACTTTCCTTTTCTGTTCTAATTCAATGTCAAATTGTCAATCAATGCAACTTTCCCCATTATATTTCTACAAGACAATGAAACAACTAGAAAAACTAAATATGGATCCCACCATTGGGGCATGAGTGGATACTATATCAAATTATCAACTATCAAGTGTGATCAAACTGACACAGTGGCTACACAGTAAGCATCCCAAAGCTGAATATTTATAAAAACTTTTTCACCATCTATCAGAATTAAATATATAACTTGAATGTGTTCATAGCACACGAAAATGTATAGTATGTTAAAAGTGCACATAATAGCATACCTGCCCACAGTTCCAGCTGTTATTGTGATTCTCCCCGTCCATATTGTTTTCCCCATTTGCCAAATTATGTTTATCACTGTATGTCACTAAGTCAGCCAAGGTAAAACCATCATGTGCACAGACAAAGTTGATACTATGCCATGGTCTCCTTCCTCCCTCCTGAAAAGCAAGCGAAAGGCAATTAACACGACAATCATCTTCTAAAGTAGCATATCACATAGATATACTAAAAAACATAGCAAATTAGCTGCGAAGTATGAGCAATCTAGAGTTCAGATTTCAAAACATACCAAAACAAAGTTACAGAAGAGTAAATTATTATTGACAAAGGGAGTTGACATGGAAAATATTAGAATAGGCAGAAGACAGGGGTGTGATAAGACAGATCAGATATAGTATTTGATGTTCACCTAATATTTAAAGGACAAGGAATACCTTACCTTGTACAGATTCGGGCTTCCACAAAGGCATTCAGCAAAAGCACCAGAAAATCCATCTGTTCCTTTGATAAAGAGCCGCACCATGTCACGATACTGAATCAAATGTAAGTTCATTTAATTAGAATTTGACTACACCCGAAACCTGTGTCACCATTATGTTTGGACCAGTTGCCCCCCACTCTGGATTACAGGGATTTCATATCCTATTAAAGTTGTGATATTTAAAAGTTTATTAGTAGTGAAACTCTGAAAATAATAGGAGTCAAAGCCGTCCACAAACTAGGTTCACAAGCTTAAACAAGTGAGAGGGGAAAGAAGAATAAATAAACTAGTACCCAATCATCGTTTACAGAAAAAATCTAGTAGAATTATGACAAAAAAACTAACCTTTCCATTCCATTCTGACCAAATGCCCCAATGAGGAAAACCACCAACTTGGTAAAGCCCTCCGCAGTCCCATGCTTCTGCAATGAGCTGAAACAAGACACCGTCAAGAAGGTAATCCCTCATATAAACACCTCTAGCAGTTACAAAACCAATAGCAATTAGCAAACACTACTCCCGCGTATATAGAATCAATGTGTACTTTACAATGACTGGAGTTTTCCAAGGATATGATAATTCAAAGTTCAAATCTATCTTTTTCTTGTCCATTACAGTTGACTCATATAATTACTATACAATTACATTTTTCTCATCCCTGCATCATTTTGTCGCATAACGCATAAATGTTCACCACTTCAGTGCATTCAGGATATCCAGCCAGGCTGGTGAAACACTTATGATAAAGATTGAGTAGATAATCCTACATTTGCTCATCAACATGAAATACTAAACAAATATTAATCAGCATTCTACATCATCATAATATTTTACCTGGTAGCAGGTAAAGTTTGCTTTAAAATGATCAGACATTGACATTCAAGTTCAGATAAATTTGACATAGCACATGAAGCTTGTTTAGTGAAAGCATAGTCCTGTTATAGCATGTTTAGATGCCTTAAATTCACCTGTTTAAGCACATCTGTGCTACTCACATACCATGCATATGTTAGTTGGATCAAGCCCTACCTAGTTAATGGTTCCCAGAAAGCCCAGGTCAAATACAGAGTGGGTTAGTTGAAGAAAGAATATTCGTAAGTGAGTTGCATAGTCTGGCCATGCAAAGCAAGACACAGCAGCAGCTAGGGTCAGAGTAGTGCATCATGGCGGTCATTGACATAAATTTTGATGTGTGGGAAAACGGAATATTGTTATAATACTTACATCCATAGTTGTTGGAAATAAATAGAATTTTCAAATGGAGAGATAACCAAGAGTTTTTTGATAATTTAACAAGCAGGGCAGAGGATTTCCTTCACTGTGGAAATAAAAAAAAATTCCAATAGAGAAAGGCCTGAGATTTTACTTCCCAATAGAGTAAATCGTGTGCTAGTTGCAGGTGGATAAAAAATAAAAATAAAGAAACCCCAAATCCTTATGCACCCAAAAAAGCACTAAATGAAAGGATTTCATGTTACTGATAGTGTGACAATAGGCCCAAGAAAATAAAAATGAAAAAAAGATAAAAGACAGTATTCACCTTTACTCTGCATAGCACAGGATCATTACTGATCATATCAAGCAGTGGGGGACTGCTCAATGGTGTGCCAGTTGTAAGCAAATCACCTTCTGTTTTATTCCCATAAACATTAGCAGTATCCCAGAGACTTGAACAGAAAAAACAACCAGAAGTGAGAAAGGAATTCAGATGAAACTTTTAGAATTACATGAATGTCAGTGTCAGAAAAAAGCAACCTGCTGCCCCTAGTCAATATAGAAGCCAAATCAAAGCGAAAGCCATCCACATGCATTTCTGTGACCCAGTATCTGTAGCATCAAAAGAGCATTTTATAGTTACAAATCAAAGGTTGAAAAGGGAAACATGAAGGCCGTAGATGCCTAAGGTACACAAAGCTTTCAGTTGCTTTAGGTTAAACTAAAGGAGAGCAAAATGTTGCTTCACCCATAAGTCATTCATCTCTGATACAATAACAATCATCAAAGGAGCAATAACATAAGGATATTGTAAGGATAATTTCACCTATTACACAAAGAAGCCTTAAATTATCGCCAATATATTAAGTATTCTCTCTTTCATGTCCTTCCTAGCAAAGAATTCGCATCCAATAAAGATTAATAAGAGCAAGTTCTTGAAATATAACCTTAAGCAGTCCACAATGAACTGACGTACAACAGGATGATTGCAATTGAAAGTATTTCCACAACCTGAATAGTTGTAAAAGTCCCCCTGCAATTTATACAATGAAAATTTTTAGAGCATGACAGCTACATACAGCAGAAATCTTTAGATGAGACGAAGACCCCAGAAATACTTTCCACTGCTTTTACAGGTCAAAGTTGTTTTACTGGCAATTGGCAAACATAATAATGGTGCGTGTATTGTGAAATACAGTAAGTATATGGTAAGATATACTGAAATCAAGGGAAAAAGGTAGGAGCATGTGACAGGAAAAAGGTCTCCCTGCCAAACACATATAGATATAAAGGACTATTCACGAGTGTGGATATTACATTTATGAAACTGATCCAAATATTGAGCATCCTCACATGCTGTAGAATGTCAAATATGTTCTAATGTAACTTCATGTAGGAAACAAGTTCGGAAGGAAAATATGACTAGCACTTCCTCACAAACCAATTGTTTTCTACTTTTCTACATTGTATCATGAATTATTACATGACAAAATTGCACACAAGATCAGTCCACATCATGCTTTATGCAATCAAGTTTTAAACATCAACCGGTAGAGTATGATCACCAAATATTATGCTCAAATATGAGAAGAATATTACATAGTCTCACTTTCATCAGATCTTGCACTTCAGAGTGTACATGGATAATACAAGTATTGCCATTGTTGGATATAACAGTAAAACAGCACGTCTTTCCAAGTACACAAAATAATTATAAAATGCACACTTGCATGGAAAGGCACATAAATATACTTATTCCTTTCTATGGACACACTAAAAAATAATCATCTTGATTTCCCTAAGAAAATACTCCCTTCATCGTACAATTAAGTTAACATCTAGTTTTGTACCAAAATTAAGTAACTGACGCAGAGACATACCTTGGGTGCAAGCATATAAAAAACACAGTTGTCAATGCCTCTGAAAGACAAAATTGGACCTTTCTGATTTCCTTCGGCTGTGTGATTAAAGACTACATCCATGATAACCTGTCAAAGTAGAAAGAATAAGTACCCTGGCCAAAAATCTAACAAAAACAAACAAGATTCTCAGCTAGAGATTGCACCTCAATATCCCTTTTATGCGCTTCTCTAACAAGAAGTTTGAACTCATCTATGGCATCACGGCCACAATTGCGTATTCCAGAAGATGCATATCTTATCATGGGTGAAAAAAAAATTGATAGTAGAATAACCCCAAAAGTTCATCCTGTATATATCATTGAATTTTGTCAATCCAAAATAGCACCAGTCCTAAGTCCTAATAATGTAATCTTATTTACCCTTAAAAAAGATCTGCGTGGTAATTTAAATTTAACACAAACAGATGAAGAACTTCCATGAAGAGGAATATATAAGGTATATAGGACAATTAGACTTCAAGGAAATAACTAGCAAAAAGTGGAAATAAAATCAGCAGGGGAAAGCAAGCATATAGCAGGTAAATGACTGAACTAAAATAAATATTCCCAGTTCTAGATGCATGTATAACACAAGTATCAAAACCTCAGTATTTAAATTTAAAAACTGAGCATGCATGAATCAGTCAGTTACACCTAAACAAGAATAAGAAGACTTGAGGATTTTTGTGAAAATCAGGTAGCCACAATTAAATTGCAGTGAATAATAGGCAATTCAATATCATATTATCATATCATCCATGAAACCATCATTGCTCATTTTGTTAGAGAAAGTATTTTCTATGAGAGCGAAGAGGATTTATACTTGTAATCACCCATAGCAGGATTGTAGCTGTAATACTCTAGCTCATTGAACTCATGACATGGCATTAACTCTAAGCAATTAATCCCAAGTTCCTGCACAAAACAGCAGCATGATACAACTTAGCAAGCCTGCAACCTCACAAAAAGGCTGGTGCTCCAACTATTGGCCCATTTCTACAATATTGAAGATATTACAGAAGAAACAGAAAGATTAAGTAGGAACCAAAGTGCTTTATTCATATTGACCTCACAATCAAGATGTCATGCTAAACAGTGGCTTTCAATGAAACATCTAGTACGAAGGTACAATATGATCCTTAAACTCAATTACTATATCAAAGATGCACAGAGTGGAAAGAGGCAAAGGAAAAGACCATTAAGAAGCTGCATAGAACTCTAAAGCTGCTTCACGCGATGCACAAATCTTGAAAAGACATTATAGAATCAAGCTTTGATAACTAACTAATATTCAAAGGAATACCTTTAAGTGGTCAAGTTTTTCTATCATGCCAAGATAAGTGCCCGGGAAGTTGGTCCTGCTTGATTCGTGCATTGTAAAACCACGGACATGCATTTCATATATTATAAGCTCTCTCTGTTGGTGCTTAAGTGGTAGATCTCCTTCCCAATCAAACTGAATTTATAGAAAGCACAAGTCAAAATTTATGAACATCCAAAGAGAATAACCAAAAACAAAAGTGCATTCAGTAGTTTTCTGCATGCTCAAGGGTAAACCAAGGATGAGAAAGGACTTTTATGTCCAATAAAAATGGTATCAAAATGGCTGCAAGATATCAAGCTCGCATTAATCTACTACATTTTAGTGCAAAATTTGAAATGAGAAACGATGTCAACACAAATCAAACATCAATTACAAATATGTCAGAAAAGCTGCTACCTCGTCATTCTGAGATGGAATCATGCCAGCCATTTGAGGCCAACAATTACGGTCAGGTGCAAGCTCACCATAGACCCCCCTGCTGATAACAGCCTAGACGAAAAAATGGAGAAAGTTAGTAGATATTGTAAGAAAGCTGAAGGAAAATATTAATATACTATCATCAGATAAATAGTCCACAGCGCTTTTCCTGATGAGAGGAAATAGTAGGCCATCCTGACAAAATACAATTTCATGCATCAAAAGACTACCATAATGATGTACTCTATAGTCACTAACTTTTGCATAAGGGTCCAATATTATGCGAGAAGAATCATAGTAGTGTCCTTCTTCTGGTAAGTATGGGCCATCGAATTTGTAACCATATAGCATATCATCAAAGTTTCCCTTCAAAAACACATGCCATACACCTCCAGTCCTGTTAACTAGTGGATCAAGTGAGATTTGCTCAGTTATTTTATTCTGCATCACAAAAAACAGCAATGATCAGATACAGAATGTCAGAATGTGCTAAAAAAGAATAGTTCTAAACCAATGACCAATAGAGAATTAAATCAGCATCCAACATTGCACTTTCCAGTGAGCACAAATACGCAAATATAGACTAACAAAAGACAAAACTACGCTGAGACAAGTCACAGGTTTCACAGGTTCACATGTTTTGCATCACATCACGAATATCTATGATATTCTAATACTATAACATCTCAATTCCTTAATATTTCACTTTGGTGCGGTATATGATAGAATATTCCAAGTATAGAAACAGATGAAATAGAATAATAGTCCACCGGACTATGAACAAGGTAATCTCAAAGGTGGAAAGATTGGACACTATTCCAGCTCTACTCAATAAAATGAGCCAAATGTTTCTCTCTCCAGCTTGATCAAACTGCGGCTTAGATCACAGTTCGCAGGATCATGAAGAGATGATTAGTCGATTAATCAATTTATTGAAAAGAAAACTCAATGAGGCTACATAAGTCAAAAATGAATGCCTCAATTCTTTCTTTTACTACTTAAGACAATAAAAGATTAGGGACGTCAATATTGCTTTCCACGGTTGACAGACCGCGAACAGGTTCAAGATATGACAAAGCTATAAAGGGGAAAATTACTCTTCCCAATTTAGGATGACCCATCTACTTTTATTCTTCAACATGCTAGTGCCACTTTACTCATTCCCTCAAAATTTCCCATTCAAATGAACGATAATCTCAACAATGTGGATTGATTTCGAAACACTGGAATCTTTAGAAAAACCAATCAAGAACCTGAAAGAACTGCCAACACCCAAATACAAGATTCCATGCCAATTTTTCACACTTCCTCAAATGATTAATCTAATTTCTGGCATGATTAGACTAATTTACCTTTTAATTCATACAAATTTCATCCAAGAAAGAACATAGAAACACCCATTTGCAGCAATTCAATCAAATAATATCCATAAGAATGGCGCTAAATTAAACAACCAAAAATCATAAAAAGAAACACCAAAATCAACAATTCAAGAAAAATAAAGAGAACCCAGAAAATAATTTGAACAACCCAGAAAATTATACCTGTTGCAAGTCAGAAAGAGTGATCAAACAAAGAGTAGCAGAAACAGAATGCCCAGAAAATATAGCAAAATTAACACCCCCATCACGAACGTTTGCCCCAAACGGCGTCGGAAGTCCGTCAGAGATTTCAAAACGCGTCGTTTCATGAGTGTTTTCGGCAACTACATTCTCAATTTCTGCGCTAGTTTCACTTGCATTCACCATTAATCGCCCAGTTCTTGAATTTGGAAGAAACCCAGATGAAATTGAGGGGAATTGAGGGGAAATGCGAGTGAGATTCAAGGAACGAAGCTTCTGAGGATTGAAGAATTTGGGAGGGGAGGAGAGAGAAAATGGAGTGCGGTAAGCAAGCTCCATTAGAGCGCAAGTTCAAAGAGTGAGGAAGAAGACATTAGAGTGCAGAGTATTGTAGGAGTATGATCTTGGAGTGTGTGGAGAGATTTTTTGTTGAAAATGAAAATTTTGAGTTGGTGGAATTTTGTTCGGTTCCCTATATGTGCAATGTTAGAGCCTTTCGAAAATAATTGTCACGTACCTACATTATTTATAGAGCGGTTAAAAGCTGATCCGACTCGAAAAATTTACTCGAATCTGATTATTAACCGACTTGTTTGAATCCGAAAAAATGGTAACCCAAATCCGATATAACTCGATCTAAAACTAACCTTAGACCTGAGTTAACTCAAGTATTTGAGACCCGAACCAACCTGGAGATGACCCGACTTGAATATAACCCGTAAATTATTGATCTAAACCGAACCCGGCTCGAACCCAAGAATTACCCTAATTCGTTTTAACCCGTTAAAACTCGAATTAAACCCGATCTATTATTTACCGACCCGAATGTAACCCGACCTGTTATTGACCTGACCTAAACTCGACTCAAACCCGATAAGATGTATGACGCGACGTGACCCAACTCAAGCATGACCCAAAGTTCAATTATAGGTTATAGTTCCCTAGTATATTGTCGTATATGTTGTTATATAGTCAAAGGAGATAATTAGCTTGATAATTATATGCATATAGTTAGATAGAGTTTAGTCTATGATGATTGACGAAGGCATGTACATTGGATATATGAGGTTATTCTCTTAATGATAAGCAAGGAAAATTTTCCCTCAATCTTTCATTAAGAACCAGATTATATTGGCATAACCGCATAAGCTTGCCTATTATCATTCTAAAATCAATTATAGCCATAGATGTAGTCTTTTTGGGTCTAATTCTAATAATAACTTAGAACATTATTTGCTCTCCCTCAATTTGCTTGACTAATTTCCTTAATTTTTTTCTAATCATTTTGACCTTGCTTGATTTGGAAGAGATACCCAAGAATCAGAATCGAATCATTTTTATTAGCTAAATAATAATTAGAGCAAATAATAACTTAGGTTAATGCCTTGAAATTTATTGGCTTTGTGAACGTCAATACATGTTAACAAACCGACTTGAAAAAGTACCCGAACCCGATATGACTCGAGCTGAAATCAACCCGAGACCCAAATTAACCCAATATTTGAGACTCGAACCTGAAAATGACCCGACTTGGAAATGACCCGACCTGATTATAACTCGCAAATTAGTGATTTGAACCGAACCCGACTCGAACCCGAAAATGACCCTAACTCGTTTTAACCCGTTAAAACCCGAATTAAACCCGAACTATTATCCACCCGACCCGAATGTAACCCGACCTGTTATTGACCCGACCTAAACCTGACCCAAACCCGATTAGATGTATGACCCGACTCAAGCATGACCCAACCCGAACCTGACCAGCATAGGTTACGACATTAACCCGAATTGACCCAACCCAAGTTGACCTGACCCACACTAACCCGACCCGTTTACCCGAATTGACATCTCTAACTATTTATACATCGTTCTCTCCTTTCTCGGTTTCGCAATTGAAGTATCTAACACATGTACCGCTAAATCACGCAGCAGATTGAATATCTAATGTAACATTATTTTAATCGTATGGAATTGATGCTTGTAAAATTCTAATAACTCTAATTTGTTTAATGCTACTATTTTTTTTCTAATACATTAGAAATTTCCTTTGTGAGGAGGGTTTCTTAATGTTTATTTTTCTTACCTTAAAAAAACACTATTTATACTTTGTACAAAGTATTAAATATATGGGTGTTTGTCCATTTATATTTAAATGTCTACTAACCTTTTTGCGTTATTCACACTATCAACTTTGACCAATGTATCTAGATTTATACGAGTAAGGAAAAATTTAATCATTTGAGCATATGTTGGAGTCATCTAGATGTATAGTTTTCGAATATTTACTTTTATTCAGAGTAATTTATACTTATTGATAATTGAAGATTGACGTACGTGCTCGGTCAAAGTGGGAACACTTAAATAAATACAAATGGAGCAATTAATGATGGAATGAGAGTATGAGAGTATTGAGGTGAGAGGTATTGGATAAGTTGATGATTAATTTGAATTGGTTCAATTCAAGAATTAATATAGTTCTTTTATTTTTAGAGAGGATATTGGGTGCGGACTTCCGCACGAAAATTTGCGTGCGGCAGGCTTGGCTGATATATTTCGCTTGTTCGCTGATATGTTTCATGTGTTGGTTGATATGGTTTTTGTGTTGGCTAATATTCTTTTTGTTGGCTGATATGTCTTTTTTAAATTTTTTTTGATATGTTCCTTTTATTGGTTGCTATCAGACATCAGTTGGCTGATTTGTTTCTTTAGTTGGCTGATATCTTTATTTTGTTTGCTGATATGTATATTTTAATTGTTGGCTTATATGTTTCATTTTGTTGACTGATTTGTTTATTTTGTTAGCTTACCTGTTGCTTTTGTTTGCTGATTTTATCCTTTTGTTGGCTGATATGCTTCATTTGTTGGCTGATGTGTTCCTTCTATTGGCTGATATGCATCTTTTGTTGGCTGATATGTTCCATTTGTTGGCTGATATGTTCCTTGTGTTGACTAATACGTTTTTATTAATGTCTGATATGTCCCTAATGCTGACTGATATCATACATCAATCCTCTCCTCTTTCCCCCTCTTCCTCTCTCACGCCACCACCCAACAAGGCAAAAACCCACACCCTAGCCTCACTCACCCTAACCCACGACCCTAACCAACCAGTCACCATCCTAACTTCACGCCACCACCCAATCAGCCACCACCTTAACCTCACGCCACCATCAACTAGTTACCACCCTAACCTCACTCACAGCACCAACCCACGACCCCTAACAAGTCCAGCCACGCAACCACACAAATCACAGCACCACCTCCAAAATCGCAACACCACCACTAGCCACCATCAACGTAACGACCAGCGAACTCCACTAGCGAATCACACCTCCCCTCGACTTGCACCAGCGAATCGCACCTTCCCTGCAACCTGCACAAGCGAATCGCACCTTCCCTGCTACCTGCACCAGCGAATCGCACCTCCCCTGTGATCTTGAATCAGAGGGTAGTGTTTCAAGATTATCGGATTCGATCTTTGATTTTTGTTCTGATAATCTTGCAACGAAGTGAGGTATGGTCTGATAATCTTGAATATGAGTTTTTGTTGATTCGATCTTTGATCAACGATTACTCCTTCGTTGCAATTGATACGGAGTATCCCGGCGTACTTTTCTGACAATTGCGAACTCCACCTCTACTGTTGTCACTCCAGTTCCTTCTCACCGCACGAACTATTGGGTGTGGAATGCCACACCTAATAGTTTGTGTTAATTTTAATACTAAGTGTATGCTATGAGCTAAGTCCGCACCCAATAGTTTGTGTTAATTTTAATACGAAGTGTATGCTATGAGCTAAATCCACCTCCCTTTTGAAGGTTAATTTGTAACTTTGTAAGCATTTGGTTCACATATTAATTAAATTTAGAATAAAAAACAATTTAAGTTAATTGAAAATTTTATAGTTGTCATTTGAAATATGACTATTATAACGTTTTAATGATTATGTAGTTTATACTTTATAATTGACATATTTCTTCCAAGTAATAAATTATATTCCTTTATTTTTGATGTAAAATAGTATTATCAACATTGTTTTTTATTTATCAAATTTTGAGTTTCATCCCATATTCCTTTTTTCCTTTTTTTTCGGATTTTCTCTCTTATACCATTTACTCCGTTTTGAATTCTTACTTCATTACATTCATATCCTTCTTATTTTAATCCACTCTCTCTCTTATGACACGTGCTCACTATTATTTTAGTATTTTCCTCTTCCTCGATCTTACTATAAAACCAAGGTCTCACACCGTCCCTCAATTAATTTTATATTTGTTTCGTTGTCTTTCATTGTAATTGCTTTTCAATATACTTTGTACTTCAATTTTCTGTTTAGATATAGTTGAATTATAAATATACTTTGTTTGATGTTTAGTAAAATAAACTGTGTAAGAATTTAAACTAATTTTAATGAGTGAAACTTATCTTTATTCATCAAAACCGATTTTTACTAAATTTTATTTTCAATTCCTATAATTTTATCGAGTAGACCACTACGACTAGGGGTGTACAAAAATTGGCCCGGACCTGAAACCGGTTCTGAACCGACCTGAACCGGACCGGACCTGACCCGGACCTGTTGATTCAGGTCCGGTCCCGGTTCTTAAAAATCCAGGTTCCCGGTCCCGGTCCGGACCCGGTCCAAACCCGGGGTTTTCAGGTCCGGACCTGAAACCCGGGAAAATCGTAATTAAAAAAAAAAAAAAGAAGAAAATCAAACTCTGAAAAATTGAAACTAAGTTTTCGTGGACTTATTTGTATTTTCGGTGGACTCATTTGTATTTTTGGTGTTTGAGAATCGGGACTTTATAGACTTTATGTAGTTTTGTAATTGATAATTTTGGTTTGTATGTAATTATTAAATTATGCAACAAGTCTAAAAATCACAAAACAGGTCCATATGCAGGTCCATATGCAGGTCCAACAGGTTTTGTATTAAAAAAAAAAAAAAAACGAAAAAGACACAAAACAGGTCCATTCAGGTCCAAACCCGGACCGGACCTGATTTTTCAGGTCTGGCCCGGAACCGGACCTGTTAATTCAGGTCTGGCCCGGAACCGGACCTGTTAATTCAGGTCCGGTCCCCGATCCTCATAATTACCCAATTCAGATCCCCGGTCCAAACAGGTCCGGTCCAGGTCCGGTCCGGTTTTGGACCTACAGCCCTAACTACGACATCAACACGACATCCAAAAAACCTAGGCGAACTATAGTTCAGGCTCGAGGCTCGCTTTGTTTACCAAAATACCCTCATTTTCCCCACCTACCAGGCTAACACTCCTTAATCACACATGTCATTTTATCCCTTAATTTATGCAGATTAGTGGATTACAATATTACATTGAGACTTGATAGTCTTGGTAAGTAGTCATATACTCAAATATATGTGCATGTAAGATCCAATTAACCAATAAAGGCAATAATAGTCGTCCAAATTAATATTGGACGTACAATTTTCATCTAATAATAGAGCCAATGTTGGAAGAAAATCCATAACAATTTTACTTTAAACTTGTAAAGATGTCACTGTTATATTGACTGTGATATCATTGTCCTGTTTCATGAGCTTTTAATTAAAGAGCTATTAACACCTTAATTAAATTTACGTGATGGTAACTAGTAGAGATATTTTCTTGATATTTTGGGCAAAACTAGTCTAGGTAGAGCTTTTATTACTCACTTTTGCTTAATGATTAGGATTTAGGAAGCTAAAAGTAACCGAGCCTCTTTAATTTATGATTTAGACTGAATTATCTAATGCCACGGCTTTAAGTACCACATATTTAGGATGCATATACTCCCTCTGTTACTAATTGATACAAGTATATATGATTGTATCTCTATAGGTTCTTACTCCGTACGAGATAATGGAATCTCTTAATAGATTTATAAAAAATCAAAAAATTTCATCCGAGATTTTGTTTTGCTCGATCATGTATATTATGATAATATCAAATTTTTATAATTTTATGCTTAATTAGCTTTGTTGTTACTACTTCTTTAATTTGGTATTTGACAAAATGAGGGTAAAGTTTTAGTATTTGACAAAATGTTCAATGTGACTTATTAATCAACTTGTTAAAATTAAGTGATCCACAATAACGGATCCAAAAAATTTGGCTTATGAATTCGAATGCAGTGAACCTAAACTTAGAAAGGACTCTAAGAGGAAAGGGGAAATGAGAAAGTGGTGACTAACGCAAATCGAGTTATTTCTTAGCAAGCAAAATGAGACATTTTTAACTTTTTATTTTATTTATTTATTGTTGTTGTTGTTGTCAATTTTAACCTCAAAGTGAACCCTAAATAACCAACATGACCCCAAAAACCTTAATTGAGCATGGTTTCCTTAATGGAAATTGTTGGTGGTGAAATATATTTTTTGCGTTTTTATAGTTTGTATTTTAAAATAAACAAAAGATGGTTAATTAAAAAAAATATGTTTTTATAGGGGTGGTAAAATATAAATTTAGTGGATTTTAATGGTCTCAATTTTAAATGTTTGTTATAAACAATCCCACCTTTTGATTATCCTACAATGGACCCAATTTTGGGGAAGTCATCCTAAAATTGTCTCAAACCTAACCAGTTTAATCCATTGAGAAAACTTATTTTAATTTTTTCCTCATATTTTATCAGTCATTACTGTGGATTACATGAGGCCTAAACTAATTTAAAACTAAAATAAGATTTAAGGTCTAATAATCAACCTCAATTCAAATATGTCCAATGACGTTGTACTTAGTCAATAAGAAAAATGGAAATAAATAATCCCACATTTGCGTGGTCTGACAATAACAATCCCACCTTTTTATTATTACGAGGAAATTCCACCTTTGCATGTATCTTCTTTTAACAAACCTTTTTACCTACAACCTATTAAACAGGTTAAAATGTTTTTTTTTAAAGCCACGTGTTGCTCAGTAATTGGTCAAAATAAAAAAGGTTAAAAACAAAAACAAAAACAAGGAAAAAAATCAAAAAAAAAAATAAAAAAAAATCCATCACCTACTAACCACCCCAACCACCGTGAAACCCTAACCCTAACCCTAGCCCCACTAAAAACCGATCGACCGCCCCCCTAAACCCCCGAAAACGGTCGGCTGGAACCCCCCTGACCCTAATCTCACCCCCAAAACCACCATAGCCAACTCCAAAATCACCCCCTAACCCAAATCTCACCCCGAAAACACCATAACCACCACCGAAATCACCCCCTAAACTAAATCCCACCCCGAAACGTCTATAACCACCACAGGAAAACCCCACTCAGCTGCCGATAACCCACGTCGAAAACCTCCATAACCACCACAACCATCATGCCGTAACTACCCCAAAAATCCCCATCTCAGCCCCCAAACCCCCCTTCCCCCTAAACACCCTAAAAACACAACCCTGGTGGCTGGGGTAGGGGCTAGGGTTTCACGGTGAGGGTTGGTGGCTGGTTTTTTTTTTTTTTTTTTTTGCTTTTTTTATTATTATAAAAAATGAAATGAACCTATTAAAATTTGACACGTGGCACATAACCTACAAAAATAGGTCACCAACAAGTCAAGGTTCATTAAAAGAAGATGACATACCTAGGTGGGATTGTCTCGTAATAATCAAAAGGTGGAATTGTTATTGTTAGACCACGCAAAGGTGGGATTTATTTCCATTTTTTCTAGTCAATATAAATCAGGAGAATAAAATACACCCTAAACCAGCCAGTTTAATACGTGATATATATATTAAGGCTAAAGTGGGCAACTATTGGGTGCTTTCATGCAAAGATAAGGATTGGTTCATTAATTTAGAGAGAACATTAACATGGTTCCTTCTTAACCGCCTAACCGGGCGCATCATGGTATCTACATGTGCTTATTAAACACAGCAATCTTATTGATGGAGAACACACGTATTGTCTCCTTCATCAGTTTCCAAAAAATAAATAAAAACCAAAATTCAAATAATATAGTCCTTTTCATCTTTATTAATAATGCTCAAGTACAATAATTTATTAAGCTAGCTGTTTTCAGTTGGTTGAATGAAATAAAAGTTAAAGCTTCTTCTTCTTTTTTTAGAAAAGCTTCTTCAACTTCAACAAGTTTCTTTTTTTTTTTTTTTTTTTAATTTTCAGCTTTTGAACACAAAGAAAATAAATTAAAATTATGGCTTTCTACTTGAAAATAGTTCATCTTTTATCAATCTCATATTTTCTCATTTTATTGTCTCTCAACTTTGATGGGATCTCAGTGAATGCCCTTAATATTGGTGTTGAGCATTTTTATCATACAAGTCATCTCATTCATCTCCCTTTTGTGGTAATTCTCTATATTCGATCTCTTCTTTGCACAATAGTTATGTACAAAATTAACTATTAGGTTGTCGATCAGTGTTATTAATGTTAATTTTCGTTGTTAGCTTGTGCCAGTAGTTTTGAACCCTTAAAAGTTAAGACTACGTGTGTACTAGTTATCTATTGTGTATCATTATCCATAAAAGTTGCGTGTTGAGAAAATTAGAGGCTTAATAAGGAAATTGTATTGCAAAGTGTTATGATGATGAATTATGACCTACTATATGTGTTTAATGGATAATTTGTCATTGATCGCAGAGTACAAAATGCAGTAGAAAGTGTGAATCTGAATTTTGTGAAGGTAAGTACTGATATTTTGTTTTGATTATATCTTTTGTTTGGAAGTAATAGTCATATATTGTAAACTCATTTTATAATTAAAATTTTACGTATATAAATACTTTCCATCAATTTTTTACCATTTCATTTTTTTTAATAAAGTTTATTCATGTATGTATAAAAATAATCTGAATCTAACAAATATATAGCAAATTGAATCAAATAAAACTTTATTATTTAAACAAACCTAAACATAATCAAATTATGTTTTGAAAGGGAGTATGTTTGAAATAATCTAAGCATTATCAGCAAATTATGTTTTAGTAACTGTGATTACCTTTTTTCATGTTTCTTTTAAGTGGTTTGGACGTGGAGTTACCGATTTTTACCTATTATTTTTACTGAATAAAACTTAATTATTTTAGTGATAGATCTAATAAAGATTTATAAAACTAAGACTAGTGTTTCGGGTGAAAACAATGGGACCTTGTCGAAGGTCCGATGAAGTGGAGAAGACTGGATTCGGTCCAAGTGATGTTGGGCCGAAGGTTTCCTGCACAGTAAACACACGTAAACTAGCCTCGGGGGTGTTGTCGAGGAAGACCCCTCCGATGCTAAAGTCAGTACAGTGTGTAGAAAGAGAACACTATGCAAGAGAATTAATTGCTTGAGGCTTTTCTTGAATGAATGTACAAATGTAATATTGATGGCTTTTATACCTTTGCATATATGGAGAAGTTGGGCCTTAGCCCAATTGGCTTGCCTTGAGGACTGATCTTTGACTTTAGCACAATTGGAGAGATGAACCTTGACCTTGGGCTTTTAATTGGATCATTTAATGCCTAGGCCCAATTGGACTAAATTGGACCCAAACAACTTGCCCCCCAGACCCGATTTGGAAGGATGACGGGTCGGGTTTGATTTAATCAGAAAAGGAGGGAAGTGAATGATTTAATTAATCCAAAAATTTGAATTTAAACCGTAATTAAACCGTAATTAATGAGATAACAACAGTTAAGGCGGATAATTGTGGAAGTTGGACGGATAATGGGCAGTTTAATCGCAAGGTCGTGTGTTTAACGGTTACTTAGTGGGGTATTTAAGAGAAATTGAAACGCGAACTCCCCGTATTCCCATTTCTGGAGATATAATTAGAGGCGCGTCATCTCTCCTCACTTATTCACCAACACAAACCCAGAATTCTCGAGAGAACCCAAGAACCCGCATCAAAACTTCGCAAATTCCCCGAGCATTAAGCTTAGAAACTGAGACTCGCCACTACCAATTCGTAAATCGGCAACTTTCGCTTCAGATTAAGGTAAATTCCTTTGATTTTAGTTTATTTTTCTTCGAATTTGAACTCCTTCCCCTTTTTTCGACTTTTTTCTTCGAAATTATCAATGGCGAGAGGAGTTAGGGGTAGAGCCCGTGCTCCAAGAAGAGCAAGGCCAATTCCCGATCCCAGGAACAGGATTGGGACCTGAAATGGACAAAGAGCAGAGTCTGACCCTGCTGAAGGGATTAGGGCGACTCCAATTTCCTCGGCTCCTCCTCAGAGAACGGAGGGGTCGAGCGCTTCTGGGCGGGACGATGAAGTTCCCGCTGTCCTTTGGGATATCCTTCCCGGGTTTTCAGAGTGGGAGGATGCCGAAGTAGCTTCGGCCATGATAAAGAACCGCCCCTACTCATGGTGGGTGGAGAATGCCGAACAGTATCGGTTTGCCGAACAAATTGAGTTGCATTACGACATCCTTGAAGCTGATGGGTATTGGTGCTGAATGCCCGTGGCATCCGATAGAATCCATCGTCCACCCCCGGGGTATGTGGGGGTGTACACAAGACAACTTCAGTATGGGCTGAGGTTCCCTTTGGACGTATTCGTCCGAGACTTGCTGATCCATTACAATATTTCCCTATGTCAGCTAACTCCTATTAGCATCCGAAGGGTGATGACATACTTATGGGTCTGCAAGTTCTTCAGGTATGTGCCGAACCTGCACTGCTTCAAAAAGCTTCATCGGCTAGTGCCAAATATTCAAAGTGGGCACGGAAGTCATGGTTCTGGGTGGTACCGGATTTAGTCTCGGCCCCAGTACCTAACCATGTGGCCGAACGACTCTTCAGACAAGGACTGGAGAGGTCAATGGATTTGGGTTAAGGCACCCACGGACCCGGGCCACCCTTGCGTCTTCAGCGCTCCCCGGTACCTTGCTAAGCCTGATCCCGACATGGGAAGTTTAGGTCCCCCCGCAGATAACGGCCCAGATCCGAACCTTAATCAACAGAATATCTTCGGCAAGCTGCCGAACCGGGGGGGCAGCGGCCGAATGCAGCATATCCCGGAGACTTGGCTCCCCGATACGCATTATGTTTTCCAAGAGAACATGCTAGCAGCTGTCGGCCTCAGCCGAAAGTTTAAGGATGGTAAGCTTCTTCGGCTGGGGCCAAGGCCTTTTAATTATCTCTTTTTCTCCTCTTTCACTTCGCTTTTTTATGCTGTGCCAACCTAACTGAACTGACCTTTCCCCTTTTCTTTTTCAGAGCGGGACGAGACCAACGTCGGCATTAACTACGCTCGTCTTGGCGTCAACCGAGAACGAGTTGTAACTGATCGGGCCCCCTCTATCACTGAACCGAGGCATAGAGAAGTTCATCTAGACTCTTCCCACTTCCAAATTGAGGTTGTTGCTCTATATCAGAGGCAGAAGCCTTGGTGGAAGAAGAGAGATCCCTGGTTTCAGCTGCTAGACGAAGAAGCTGAAGCTGCCCGTACGGCCGAAGAGGTTGCACGGGTTATTGAAGCTTGTGAAGGAGGAGAAGGGTCCTCCAGGGCTGTTGAAGAAGAAGCTGCAGCTAGGGCAGCTGAAGAAGACGAGGCTTTGCTGAAGACCTCGGTGAGCTTTCAGACTTAATTTTGTTTGTTTCTGTTTGTTGTTTTGTTGTTTTTGTTTGTTTTTTTTTTGTACTCACATTCTTCCTCCCCCCCTGTCTTTTACAGTCTGAAGAGAGTAATAGACACAGAGAAGGGAAAGCCCCTGTTCGTCCCGAAGACCAAATACAAGAAGAGTCCTCAGACTCAGACATGGACGAGCAACCGCTTCAGAAAAGGCGCCGAAGAATGGCCATCATCGGCCCCCATGACTTTCAGCGGAGGCCGATGACCATCGGCGTCGAAATAAGGGAACCCGAGGAAGGCAATGGATCGCCGAGGGTTCCCCGGCCACCACCTCAATCACCTCCAAAGACCCCTCCGCCACCTCCCGAGATGGAGGTGGATCAGAAGACTCCCGAACCTAAGGGAGGGGTCCAAGAAGAAGTTCAAGAGAGTGTTGCTGAGCACAAGAATGAGGATGCCGTGATGCCTAGTGCTGAGGGTTTCACGACAGACATTGCAAGAGAGGTTGAGGCCTTCGTCCTCACCCCTGAAGAAGAAGAAGTCATAATAATTGACTCTTCTGAGAAGAAGGAGGATGCTGAGCCATCCAAAGTTAAAGAAGCTCCATCGTCATCCTTTCCTTCCTTCCAGACTCTGCAATCTGGAGAAATGGGTTTCTCGGCCCCCCGAATTCCAATCCCAGATCACATCTGGGACCTCATATGGGGTCAGAACCGAGAAGGTGCTGCAGCCTACTTCGGCGATTTTGCTGGCATGTCCGAAGTAGATAGGGAAAGAATCTGGTCGCTGAAGGCCACTGCTGGGATGGGCGAATCCAGCAGATCAGTTCTTGACCCAGCCAGATCTAACTAAGTGCTGATGATGCAGGTGATTTTCCTTGCCTTTATCTCCTTTAAAATTCAGCTCTTTAATTATCATTATTATTATTATTTTTTATTTTAACTTGTGCTCCTGTTTTCAGTTCGTGCACAATCAGACTCTCACTGTAGAGCTGATAGATACCCTACAAAGATAGGGTAGACGCTGCCGAGCACGACAAAAAGGTAGCCGAAGAGGAGTTAAAGCTTGCTAAGCTGAAGCAAGCAGCAGCTGAAGAGAAGCAGCAGAAGGGTGAAGAATATGAGAAAAAAGCTGCTGAAGCCCTCAAAACCTTCTGCGATGCTATGGAGAAAAAAGTTTTTCCCCCACTGATGGAAGGGGAAAAATTCCTCCAAGAGCACATGGGAGTGGACATCTCCAAATTCAAGGCTACCATTGAGAGCCGAATCCAGGAAGGAGCTGTTGCACAAGCTGAAGTGCAGCAACAGCTAGAAGCTCTTGAAGCCAGCAGAATGGCTGCTGAAGAGATGCTCCAAGCCAGGGATGTCCAACTCTCAGAGGCTGCTGCTGCTGCTGAAGCTCAGAGAGCTAAGCTCCAAGAAGCTGAGGATCAGCTGATGGCCAAAAAGGAAGAAGTGGCCCAGGCTCAGACAGAGGCTTCCCAAGTTCAGCAGGAGCTGAATGAGCTGAAAGGTTCCTCCTCCAAGCTCGCCGATGAGCTGAAGAAATCCAAGGAAGACTTGGAGGAGACAAAGAAGAAGTTGGCTGATGCTGAGGCTCTACTCAAAGTCCGTGTCTATACCCAGGAAGAATATGAAATGGGTTTCAGAAACGGGTTCAGAGTGTGCCGAAGAGTCTGCCTTCATGCTGAGCCGAAGTTGGACTGGTCCAAATGTGCTGAATGGGTCCAGGATCCCGAGGACCCTCATATGAAGTATGCAACTCCAGTCGAAGCTGAAATCCTTAAGGCTGAGGAAGCCGAAGAAGAAGCTGAGAGAATGGAGTTGGAGGCTGAACAGAGGGAAAGGGAGGCTCGGCAGAGTGCAAAGCCTGCTTTTTCTGCTGCTGGGGCTGAGACCACCATGGGGCCCAACAATGCTGACCAGTCTGATCCTCGGGCTGAAGCATAGGAACTCGGGCAGTCGTCTTCAGAATCTTGCGGTTCATCATGCGCTCAACTTTAGACTTGCCGCTTTCTGAATTTTTGCCTTGTTTGTTTTTTGCTTCAGCTTGCCTTGTCGTACAAAACAGTTTATTTTTTTGCTTCTGTACGTATTTCGGCAGCTGTTATTTTCCGCTTGTGGGCG